GATATTTCTTAATTATTAAATAGCATTCCTAGAAACTAATACCCGGCGACACGGAGACTGAACATTTGATCAAAATGCGGCGTGCAGAGGCAACTAATGGTTGTGTCTCTTTTGTTGATGTTCATAAAAAAATGCAAAACGTCTGCTCGTCTATTTCCTTTCCACACATGAAGCGGCACAAAGACGGATGATTAATGATGTCATTAGAGTTGTTTCATTGAAAAGGTATTGTTGCTTTGATGCAAAGCGTTTGGGTATTATCATCTATGGAGAAGCTGTTAAGCTTGACGAACATGCAACGCATGATTGTATAGTTTGGGAATTTGAAAGGTTATTGTTGGTATAATTAAATTATATACGTGCTTTTTCAAAATTTCGATTTTTCTTTCCGAACGAAATGTAAAAGAATATAATGTCCTGCAACAAACGCCCCCCCCCCCAGCGCTCCCCATTTAACACAAATTTGTCTGTGTCTTCAGTGCCCCAGATTTAATGTTGGCAATAAGAGCTTTTATCATATCATTTCTCGTAATATATCAGACAAGAGTTTTGCTAATTTTCCGATATTCCAATTTAAGCCGTGAGAGTCGTTTTATCTTAAATATGATCTCAATATGATTTAAAGCAAATCTTGAATTTGTAAGTGTCATTTTTAGGCAACCTGTCAATAAAGACATTTTTGTGAATTTATGATTGTTAATGTTTAACGTGAAGTGAATTACTTTTCAACGGGATAAATAGGGGAAAACAAGGCAGAGGTGTGATTTCCTACGAAGCTTGGGGGAGTAATTTAAAACAAGTTGAAAATTAAAAAAAAAACACAAATCAACTTCGACCCAGATCAAATCAATACCCTACAGTTTATCTCTTGTTCCTCTGCCAATTTATTGTTCACATAAGAACGGGTGGGGAAAACCTCAAATGCACCGACGAACAAGAAAGAATCCACGACAGTGCTTCAACAACGGGATATCCATGCAGAAGGAGATTTGTGCATGTCATCATCTCCTCGTCGTAAGTCGACTTGGCGAGATAATGCATCTGGACAAGTCGTTATCTCGACTTCGGAAAGTCGACTTGACGAAATAATACATCTGGACAAGTCGTCATGTCGACTTATGGAAGTCGACTTGGAGAGATAATGCATCTGGACATGTCGTCAAGTCGACTTCGGTAAGTCGACTCAGCGATACAATTATGTGATTAAGTCGCCTTACTCTCGGCGATATGTCAACATGACGAGATAAATTATCTGAGTAAATAAAGAAGTGGATGGCACTCATGGAGCGCCGTAGAAAACTGCCCCTCGAGAGCACACTTAGTGCCCGGCTCCCAACATTAAAACTGTTCCGCTCTCAACATTAACTGTACCCCTCTCAACATGGAAAACTGGCCCCTAAAACATAATAGTGCGCTTCACGCGAATAAAATCAAAGCAACAGTGCCCCTTTCGCTAACTGTTGGACATTGTTTCCTCAGACCCTGTAATAAGTGGGCACTCCAAAACATGACATTTTCGGAGATTTCAGACCGTAATACCCCTTTAATTCCATTAACAGTGACATCGCTCGGATTCCGAGTGATAGATTTTCGGTTAGGCCAAAAAAAAAAGTCTCCGGTTTTTGGTATGGAGCTTGCCCAAAAAGTGTTGTGGCGATGCGGCTTTTTTTTTTTTTTTACCTGATTTTTTTTGCCTCAAACGTCGGCTGATGAATGCAAATGGTGCCCGACTAAACTTAGTGCAAATATATGGGAGTCCAGAGCGGCCACATAAAGCTTATTCTCGATCATAACCCCATCCAAAAACACGTTAAAATTGTGCAGCAGCAGGATTCCAGTCAAACCAGTGAGTTTGGCGGTTTTGAGATATTATATCATCTTTCATTGAAAAAAAAAACCTGTTTCATTTTGCCGACGCGCATGGCTACGGCGACGCGCGCGCATACCAGAAACAGGAGACTTTTTTTGGCCTTAGCACTCAAAATGTTGATAGGCCTATTGTGACAGTATGAAAGGATTGTATAACTTCCAGCCGCATATCTTCAAGGAAAGATCTTGAAGACGTGTAAGGAACAGTTCTGGAATACTTTTGTCCATTTTACAGAATTTTTACAGGGGTTTTTGGTCATTTTTGGCGGCCATTTAAAAAAAGTGGGGGGTAAAACGAATACAAGTTCAAAGGTTTACTTCCATTAAGCTGATATTAAAACGTGTTGACTAATCGGTCTATCTAAAAAATGAACATTTCAAATCGGAGGTTTTTTTGCATTAACCCTATAATATTAACATGAAAGAAACAGTTCAAATGGTTTGATTGACAGGTATTTTTTTCTGCAAATATATTAAGTCAAAAAGCAAGGGTGGCGTGAATCTTTAATGATGGACTTAATAAATTATGAACTTCTTTGGCCAAAATGTATAATAAATCGTATAGGTTTGGAACATTTCGTGTCAGGATTCTGAGTGGTTTTATCATTGAAAACGAACAAAACACATTGAAAGCAACCGATCATATATGCCTGTAATGCTTCTCTGCCAACTGTACTTTAATCCATTATGCTCTCTGGTTTAGACCGAGTCTCATGTACAGTGGAACGCCGCTATAACGAACATCGTTGGATCCACAGAAAGTGTTCGTAATAACGATCGTTCGGTATAGCGATTTTGAACCGCCGGTACCCTCTTTTGACCAATACTAGTGAACTGGCATTTCTCATGAGTGGTTTTCCCTTCTATTCCTTGGGGAAATAATAGTCACCTATCGCTCTTCAACATTCAAACACGATGTAACCATGGATCGTTTGATGTTAGGGAATTAAAAGTGGCCCAAATAGTACATGTACGACCGGTAGATCTTTTGTTAATCTGCTGACTTTTTTCCACAACAATGTTCGGTACGTTTTGTACATTAAAATTACCGGGAGCCAAGGATGATGTTCGGTATATAGCCGAATGTTCGGTATAGCGGGGTTCGGTATAGCGGCGGCAAATGCCACTTTGAGAAGATTCTGAGCTGCCAGGGTCGAAACAACAGGCTCTCCAAGTCTTTTGATTTCTAATATCCAGGTCAATCATGTATTCAAGACGTTTTGCAGTAGTTTTATGCATGTTGCATTTACACTGTTATAAGAAGCCGTGGGTGTCGCCAGAATGAGGCAGGGGGGGGGGGGGGCGCTTGCCTCACAGTGGAAAGGGCAAAGGAAAAGAAAATAAACTAAAAAAAGAAATATAATAAGGTAAACAGAAGAAGACCAGGTGCGAAGTCATATTCCCGTGAATTTTATGCACACTTAACAACATGGGCGTCCGCAGGGGTGTCAATTGGGGCTGAGTGGGCAAATGTCCCCCCCCCCCCCCCCCCCCGCCAACCCTCGAAAAAAATATATAAATTGAGAATATGCTAGAAAAAGTATAAAGCTTTTAAAAAAAAAAAAATTCTAGAAAAAAATCCTGGCGACACGCCCATGTAGGAAGCTGTTAAATTTCAACAAGCAGACTTTTGCTATTTGTGAGTCAAATAACTCCCGTCCGTTCATGTTTGCAAATATAAATATGCCCATCTGTATACTTAACATATTATGACGCCGACCTTTTGGAATGAAATCGATCGATAAATAATTACGAAGATGATATTACTTTCATAATTAACAAATCAATACAGTGGCGATTAAGGAATGGGATTTTTGGCTGAGGGAGAGAAAAAAACCCAACATGTATGGACAAAACGTTATGTGTTAGGGACAAAAGCCATGTACGTTGTACGAGGAGCTTGACATATGACCTCTCTTACCAAGCGATTATTTTCTGTTCTTTGCGAACTTAAAATTGTTAAAATTCACTGATCTGTACCATCTTAACTTATGCAAATGTACGTATAAATATATGAATCGTGCATTACCTGCTTGTTTAACTCCTGTTTTACACATAATTATTTTAAACATTCATTCCTATAATACCTACAGTACTACCAGGAAAAAATCTTCATGTTATTTAAAGAACATCATTGTCCACAAATAGTGTTGTCCAACGTTGCACTCTCTATTTGTATAGTCTGGATGACTATTTTAAATCATCATCCACTATCTCTATTTTTACTAGAAAACTAAAATCTCGTGTTTTAATTCCATACTAAAGAAACGTTATAGGAATAGGTTCGTCTTGATTACTGCGTTACTCCTGTGGCTGTGCTCTGTCTTTTCATGTATATATATATATATATATCACTTGTCTGTCTGACCATACATGTAGGCTGGGGAACAATAAGCTGATGCCTCGACCCGGCACTACCCATGTAGATGTTGCCATTTAGTTAATGTTCACTATTCACTATTCGCAATATCTATGTACATGTATTGTCATTTTGAATATGTGATATTATGTATCATCCTTTGTGGCAGCATTGAGATTGATGTATCTAATTACGTCAAACTTTCCAGCCGCTCTGCCACAGTGGACCCTTGGTTGATGCATTGTGTTTCAGTCAAAGACTGAAAGAAAGGTCATCGAAATTACTTCATATTTGAAACAATCCAATAAATATGTATTACTGATGTTATTTTCTTTGTTTTTATTTGGCTTTATTCATTGTATTCTGTCAAAAGGTATTTTCGGCAGGACATTTTGCCATCAGATCGTACAAAAGCTGTCAAAAAGTGCAAATTTATTATCCAAATTCTGTAACGATGTAGCTCATGCTAAACAGTGTGCGCAGGCACACATAAGCAAAAAATGGGAGATAAATACCCACGACCAAAACAAACCGTAACTCTCAGCAATAAAATAAATGTATTGATTCGGATTGCAATCAATCCAATTTGGCAGGCAGCTGCCAAGGAATACAAAACAAAATGACCCTCCCATTTTGTTTGGCACCTGTGCTTTGACCATCGCTTTTGATGGACACTGTTCTGATGGACACTCTTTGTAAGCATTGTTATCGTAAAGAATACGCGCAACGAACCCAGAACAAAAGAATAGAATGGAAAACACAAACACTATCAATGTCAAAGACCACGCGTGCGTGAAAAGGAGAATAACACACTATACGGTCGTTCAGAATCACGTAGTACTATGAGTATTTCCGTTGAGAATGTGTTAGGGTTATGGCTCTGGCTTTCCGATTGACTCGCTGCTGTTACTAGCCACTGACGTAGCCATAGGAGTGTTATTGGAACCCAGTGCTGGCAGAAACACCGAGCATCCATTCCATTACATAGATCGTCATCTTGTTGCGAACAGTGTCCGAATTCATTATCAGATCGTTAACTCACTGCTAATCACAGCAGATAATTTGATCTGTCGTATACCAGACTTCCAAATATTATTAGAGTGCTTGTTATCAACCCAAATCTGTGGTCTCACAAGGCGTGCGGTGTGCGCGTTAAAAAAAACCAAACATTACAATTCCCCGAGGGAACTGAACGTCGTGTTTTTGAGGTGTCACTGCTGAATCAGTGGTCATGACGGTGTACTTGCTGGTGTTACTCGCTGTTTTTGGTGGAGCGATGGCAGATACCAACAACACCAAACCACAAGGTAAATTTCAGAATATTTCACCCCCTTTATAATTTGTTTTTATGGAGTTTTGGATCCGCAAAAGGGCAGTCACTGTTGAAGTGAGAATACTTGGTTTCACCGGCAAACCTCACGGCAAGTCAGATCAAATCTTCCAAAGAGGAAAATCTGAGATTGTTGCTGGAATTAGGGAAACTAAGAACAGTACGAGAGAAGTAAACAGTTTTATTCAACCTGTCCCTTTTGGGCTAAATTACAGAGTTGTATACCTATGGCTGTACAAATTGTGATCAAATTTATTATTCCAGAGGAAATCCACCGACTTTTGAATGTATCGAATGTTTCGTAACATATGAGTTCGCACGAATTAATAATTCGAAATTATGAGTTAATTCAGTCCGGCGACCACTAATGGGTTGTCATTGTAAACATGATCTGATCGAGCCTCGTTTTCATTTTGGTTTCAGTTTTCCTTTTCTTGGGTCTTCACCATGAAATTGCCAACATTAATTCACCCAACTTAATTCAGCCCACCGGCCCCTCATGTTTCTTGCGACCCAATTGTCACCAAGTAATTTTGTTTAAGTTCAGAGGCAACATCAAGGGTTTTTTCGTTTGAAATTACAAGATACATTTTTTTTTTAGCCGGCTGACATTTTTCGAATTTCTTTGCCTCCTTCTGTTTGAGGAGTAAATATTGTGGGATATCTTGAGGTGAAATGTTTCAAACAATTTTACGTCTTTGTATGGGAATGGGTAACTATTTTGAGATAAAAAAGTTGCCATTTGAGCTACAGTGCAGTGATATTAATTCACGGGATTTTTGAACATGCTCCAAATTGGTCACATAAACTTGAATTCAACTTGACAATTGGCTCAGAAGTGATTGGTGAGTGACGGTAGACCAGCGGCAACAAGCATTAAGGACATACATGGCTGGTGTTAATTTATTTGTTTTCAGCCAATGTTCGAAATCGTTCGGTTCAAAGTCCAGCCTCTCGTGTACACGAGTGTCGTTAAAACACAATAAACATAATGTTACGTAATATCTTTGTGAAAAGGAAACATTTCAACCCAGTCCCGAGACTGATAAAACAACCACAGTCCAGCTTGAACATGCTATGTATAGGAATTATATAGATTAGACGCACATGTAGTTTTCCCGGAGTTAACTTATGTTGGTGTTAATCCGAGATACTGTCTGTTTTTATTACATATCGCAGTTAGCAAGGTTGCGTGATTTCTGAGTATTCACCAAATAATCGAACACGAATGGTGTTTTCAAATGCAGTAGTATGGCGGTAAGGCCAAAAAAAAAAGTCTCCGGTTTCTGGTAGGCGCGCGCGTCGACGTAGCCATGCGCGTCGGCAAAATGAACAAGTTTTTTTTTTCAATGAAAGATGATGTCTCAAAACCGCCAAACTCACTGGTTTGACTGGAATCCTGCTGCTGCACAATTTTAACGTGGTTTTAGATTGGGTTATGGTCGAGAATAAGCTTTATGTGGCCTCTCTGGACTCCCATTATTTGCACTAAGTTTAGTCGGGCACCATTTGCAGTCAACAGCCGACATTTGAAGCAAAAAAATCAGGTAAAAAAAAAAAAAAGCCGCGTCGCCGCACCGCTTTTTGGGCAAGCTCCATACCAGAAACCGGATACTTTTTGGGGGGCCTAAGGCATATAACCAAAGTGTGTCTCAAATCTACTGCAACTTCTAGCGAACGCAGTCAATCCGCGCTAACAGGAAAATATGGATTTTTTGTGTACGAAGAGCTGGCTTGAAAATAGGTGATCTGATAGTTTTTCGGTTGCTTTTATAGCTATACATAAACTGAGGTGTATTTTGTTAAAGAACAAACACTTCTGTGCAGAGCAAATAAAATATAATTTTGTTTTTCAATTTTCGGTTTGTTTTGTTTCCTTTTTGAAAGCCTGTGGCTATAAGTTTTTCAACTGCTATTTTGCCTCTAAGCGTGATTTTTTTTGGCATGTGTAGTTCAACAAATGCAGGACGCAACATTTTCACAACTTTTTGTTTTCATATCCGTGAAATCACAAACTGCCATTTGCATCTGCTTTAATGATGATGATGTTCCATGTACCGTCCATGTAATTTATGGTTGATTTATTATGTTGATAAATAAAATGCAAAATCAGGCCTATATTGGCTGTAAATTCTTGATTTACCTACGACCAGCTGTCCAGAATATTATTTTTGTTAAACAAAATATATAACTACTTAAAAGCTCACTGGCTTTACGCAAATTAGCCTGCTGAGCGCATCCGTGGTCGTGCACAAACCTACAGAAAGCTTCAGGTTTTATATGTCATTATTTTAACGGTTATTTTTCACAGGGGGCCTGCCACATTTGTATTTGAAATCGTAGCAAATTAATGAAATCGATACAACCCAAACCGAAACGCGCGATGCGAATTCACAGTGTTGCCATGAAATCACAATTTAGTTTGCAGGATTTGTACTATTGTTAAAATTTGTCAAATTTCAATCGGTAACACTGGATGTACAGATTGACAACTCATGCTCTCACCCGTAGAAAAAAATCACGTACCTCAAAGTTGGCTACAACGCAAAGGGTCTATTTGAAGAGAACAACCCATTACGTCTTCTGGCAGTTTAAGAGTCCGTTGTAACTGGGGACAATGACCATATCACAGTAACAGGGGTGTACATGCAAGAGCAATTTGCAAAGACGGACCGACCCAAGGGTGGGGGACTATAGTTGGAGGGGGCACTATATTTAAATAACCAACCGCATTCGCCTGACTAGTGTAGAACGTGATGGAAATAATCCCAAATGTCTTTTATCTCCTTGATTCACAATACTGTAAATCAGGATCCACTGCTTCAGGCATTTGGTCTTGTTATGTGTTGACCTCATTGACCCTCCCTTGAAAAATGTTGGACGTCTACACTCAAGCCACCCCCCCCCCCCCCCCTGCTCACTTTTGAAAATCCTCCTGGATCCCCGGCGCCACTGCTTCATGTACCATGGAACAATAAATATGTTTGTGCATATCGTATTGCGTTAATCTGCAGTATAGTATATGTTTCATAATGGTTATGATATTATTACCATCGATTGAAACTTTTCATTAATTTGTTTTAAAAGATATCGAAGGCTTCATTTCTGTTGAATAGTTTTTGTTCATTCAATTTGATTTGATTTTTTTTGTTTTCAATTTCAGCAGGTTTAGGAATAATTTAAAGCGCAGCTGGGTTGGCTCACTTAAAAAAAAACCCAGTAAATTATTAAAACTGCTGTGAATTTGTGTTTCTGCGTGTACTTCTGACACGATATAAATTATGTATAAATAACGCTGCTTTATTGTCATGATGCTTTTCAAGTTATTTTCTCCAGTTTCACCCCTGTTTTTAGTTTGTTTGCTTTTTTTGAAAAAAATATTATAGTTCCTAATGTTCTTCTCACATCTTTGTTGTTCCCACTTTGATTTTTATCCGCTCCCACACTCCTTTGTTCCTTCCCCTGCCTTACCCCTCCCACCACTAGCCCCTCCCCCTTTTATCTTTACCCATTGTCACGCTGCTTATTCCTCCCCTGTAATCCTTTGCATCACACTCTAACCTTCCCTTACGTTCTCTGCTCCAAATTGCTTGTGTACTCAGAATATTTCCCAGTGTATTTTCGTCCATCAAGGACGCCGAATGTGGGTTTTTTTGGCCTCTTTGTCTCTTTCTATTTTTCTTTTCCCACTTTGCCTTTGCGAACAAGAGATCCGCCTAGTTTTTATTTATTTTATTTTATTACACTTCTCCACTGGCTGATATAAAAAATATTACAAGATAAACAGAATCACAGATTAAAAATACAGATAATTTACAATAAATATTTTTTAAAAAAAAAAGAGTTTATGCCAGAATACGGATTAAGCCAGTGAGTGGCAAGATGGAACAGGTGACTAGCACCTCTTCAAAGCCATCCTACCACAGGAAAACGAGATCCTATTGAATTTTCTTTTAATTTTCTATTAACAAAAAATACACGTCAGGTCGTCCACTTTTTGCTTTTGATTTGTATATTCAGGTCAATCCATGCAGTAAGCAATTCACAGCAGTTTTTTTTCTCCCTCCAAAACACGATGTATAAATATCGTGTTTTGGTTTGTGATTTTTAACACACGCGATCTTTGGTTCAATAAGAGAGTGTTTTAATGAATGTATGAGGTGGTATTGTTCCTTTCTAGCGATGGTGGTTCTGCCCTTGACGGCCAGCACTGGTCGATTTAACAAAGTGTATGCAGCTATTGACGTAACGGTATACGAGGCAAACATCCCCAACGTGTGGGCACCAACCAAAGAATTAGGTCAGTATTCTACCGGGGTTTTTTTTCAAGGACGTATAAGAAATTGAATACAAAATAATCGGTCAGTTGTTTTGTTTGAAAATAACTGTTCTGGTTGTGTTGGCATCGAGCGAGAAGTTCTAGAAACCTCATTGAATGAGAAAATAATGGATTAAATTCAATATGCTTGCTTCCTAGACAATATCATCATAAGGCCTTCCTGCACATCAGAATAGATCTAAGACATAATGACGTCACGCTGTGTTTACATGTATGCATTCCTATGGGAGCCTGGTGGGGACGATCGCCTCTTGTCCCCGCCTGGCTTCCATAGGTAAGTGCACATGTAAACAAAGCGTGACGTCATTATGTCTCGGGTCTGTTTGACGTTTTTCGCTTCGAGATAAACATAGACAAACGAGGCATGTGTTGACAAGTCACAATTTGGACAGTTTATAGTAATTAAACGATACGGCAATCTTCAATTTGTTATGCTGTCAACAGAAAATGAAAAAATATGGTAAAACCTATTTTTTTTTCAAAACAAGAGTCGCTGAGGGCCACCTGCAGTCTAGTCCTCTATGTACCCGACTCACTGACGTACTGACTGACTGTCACTGTGAACCGGGCAGTGGTATTGTATAGGATTACCCTGTTACGCCAATGGGCTTAATCTGTAGTGTAAAACATGAAAAAAGATTTGTGAATAGCCGTTCTGAATAAAATAAACATTGTTTTCGCTCCGAGACCGAGACTTTTTCGTTTGTTCGTTGATGGCGCGCTAGCATGAATGACCCCGCCTTTAACAAAGGATTGTTTATTTCTATTCAATCACAATCAAATATAAATGTGCGCATGCGCAGTTGCAATACCGATATGATTCCTCTTCCAATAATAGAGTACCGAAGTCTGCTGTCTTTGTTCTGGTTCACGCGCTGGTTCGTCTTGCTGACGTCTTTACAAACTGAAGCTATGCGCGAGAACCAGAATACGCGGCGCACTTCGGTACTCTTTCCTAAAACTAATAATGATTATTAAGATGAACGCAAAAGACCAATTTACTAAGCCCCGCCCAATGATGTTTTGACCAATCACAGCAGTAATTAATATCCGACAGGCGTGCACGCGCGTATGACGCGCGCGTCTGCTGTTGCCAACGTGCGCACTGGGCGGGGCGTAATGTATCGGTCTGTTACTGCATAATTCTGAAATAAAATAACTGTTTCCTGCAGTGCTTGTTGTCATGAACGTAACTGATGCGCCAAGCGAGGAGACGGCGATTATCCTTGACGGCGATTCCGATGAACCGACTCGATTTGGCAGTCGAGTAATCGGTTTGGAAGTGATCACTGCAAGTGGAGGAAAGATTTCGGCAGACTTTGACGAGACACCCATTGAAGTCACCTTTCCACGTCTAGAGGTCGGTTAATGGCAGTATCGATTACACCAATATCGAGTTGTCGGCTCTGTCATTATCGATAAAAGACACGCTTGATTTAGATCCGAAAGTTTTTAATCAAATTTTCAAACGAACCACTAAGGGAAACTGACAACTTGAAATATGACAATTTTTTGAAAAGTTGAAAAAAAAAATGGTTCCACTTTTTAAAAACAGGTTTTTAGTCAAGTTAAGGGGCATTGCGTCCCAGGAAGCGCCGCATCGGGCGTTTTTGTTTTTACGAAATGATAATAATTGGAAAGAGTATTTGCATGTAAGAGTAAAATATACATGTCGCACAACCAAACCTTAAAAATTGCCCATTATTGTGTAATTCTGTTTTTTTTAACGAAATGATAATAATTGGAAATAGTATTTACATGTAAGAGTAGAATATACATGTCACACAACCAAACTTTAAACATTGCCCGTTTTGTGTTATTCTTGCTAGAGCAACTATTGGGGTCAACGATCTAAGTCAAAAGTTGAGCTGTTTGCGTGCAACTCGTGGGTCCAATCGAACATGTGCCTTTGAAAATATTCTTTAAAAAATATAAATATTCCACACTCGTGTATTGGTGCCGGTAATATATTGAACACCTACACGCAAGACGTACAATGAATTGTCTGACATCCTGGACACAGAAATGGGGGTGTGCATGGGCTCTTCTTCAAGGAGACATATATTTTTTTGGCTGGAAATGCATGAACGTATGCCACAAAATACCCGCCGCTTCAGGAACAGCGAGACATTAGGTTAGTTTCCTTTCAACCAGACCTTTGAAATAATAGGATAAGTTTGCCTAAAACAATCTACAACATGAACATTTCGACGATTTCTAGACATGTGCTTTTACTTTTTAAAAACCAAGAGTAACTTTACTTAGTATCACACCTCAAACAGTTCGAATTGCAAATCGTCGGCCTGTTCGGTTTGTATTTGTTTCGCTTGTCTCCGAACACATAGTCACACATGGTGTATTTTGCTGTTCGTGTTTGTTGTTTGACAATTTTTATTTGGCTTATTTGCCTATGTGCTCTCTCGTTTGCATATTTGATTGTTTCCTCATTTTACTCAGCTTTGTGGTTGTCTGCCTTGATGATTATTTTTTTTTTCGTCGCTTTGTCCATGTCTGTGGGATTGTTGTCTGTTTGTCGGTGTTTTTTCTTCTAGTTGTCTCCTTAAAATGAGGTATGAAACAGTCGTCGGCGGTTTTTGCTAACTAATCAGCAAATCGTATTGGATCGAATCTTATTTTGAGAAACAAAAGACAACAATAGTTATTTCCAACAAGGTCGCAATTTGCTCCTCCCCCTTTTCTTTTTCCAGTTTCTCTCAGAGGAAAACATCGTGTGTGCCAACCAACCAGCCGACAAAATGTGAGTTTAGTTTTCATTACTTTCGTTGAGTTCGGGGGAATCAAGGACATGTTAAGATCGGGTACACGTTTTGGATTTCAAGTTTTGACGCCCAAACTGTTGCTGAGTATTATTAAGAACCAGTTTTGCCTTAATAAGCAATTATTTTTCCGTTGCCAGACATTTCTCGGCTCGATTACGGCTCTACAAAGTCAGCCCCTTATTCTTTTGTTTGTATTTATACTTTTGAGTAAACCTGTCGTCCAAAGCATGTGTTTTACGTATGTAAATACGCTAAGAGGACTAGTTAAACAGGTAACACCACGCACTGGACGGCATACGTCCGTCACAGTGCGAACAATATTTGAGTCCAAGTAGCTGGAATTAGGGGGCTGGTGTAAATGAAGTTTTAAGTTTGAATATGGCGGACTTATGCAGATGAGCTGGAAAAAAAATAAACCCAATGTACAAATTGATTTAATTATGCAAAATTCCAGTATAATTAAATGGAATAATCATTATTATACTCTAAATTTGAAGATAATGTTACAAACTCACTTTCTGCGCAGGTGTCCAAAATTTCGAAATATTTAACAAATCGTTACTGACTTTAACTGATCAGATCCTTATTTCATGACTATTTATCACGGGATGACAAGCCCGATTCATTGGCGGATCCACTTCTTTGTATCCACCCGTGGGTGCTGGTTTGTGCGCATGCGTAAATCGCACAACAGGCGAATTTTGTGCCAACAGCTGTGCAGATTTTGTGCGTTAACGCTTTGAACACAGAGTGAAGCTGATAATTAAAGGTCGCCGAACGCATTTCTGCGTTTATCGGTTCACCGGATCATCGGATCATCGGACATACAGGTGGGAGAGGTTTGCGCTGAAAAAATCGGACCGATCTGACCATACACCGGGCGACTCGGATGAAATCAAGCATTACAAAAAACATTCGCATCCAATTTCACCCGCCGGATCCGATGTCACCGAAAAAGGTGTACGAGGCACCACTCTGATTTCACCTGACGCGATATTTATGTTAACGAATCAGGTTCAGGAAGGAAGTCACATGATTCAAAATTGACGGTTGTCATTTTCTCATCACGTGTCTGGTCATCATGTGACTGATCACCACGTGACTGGTTATAGAACGGAATCGGAAAGGTGTGCGGCGGGCTTTATCAGGCGCGGTTCTAGAACCAATATTTTTTGGGGGGCTAGCACGGTGGATCCAGAATTTTTTTCAAGGAGGCGTGCTGAAATGTAGACCGGTTATTTTTTCCAGACACTTAGGCCTCCGACAATCAATAGGTGGGGGGGGGGGGAACTTATGCCATATGAATGGGGAGCACCAATAAAATCCTAAAATCATTCACACTATAGCAAGGGCGGATCCAGAAAAAAAATTTGGTCCCCCCAGTGGGTCCAAAAAATTACGGCGTGGGGTTCGGGGCCCGCTTAAGGGCCCCGAACAATTTTTGGATTCTAGATGCTCTGTGGTGCGATCTGAGGCAATTTCTGACCAGTTTAACCAATTGTTTTTGAAGAAAAGATGGTGGTGTACTCATTGCCTGCCTTTATTGCGATGTCACATAAAAAAAAAAATTGGTTTCGTTTTTTTTTGGGGGGGGGGGGCATGGCCCCCTTTGGCCCCCCCTCCTGGATCCACCCTTGCACTATATTAACTAATGCACCCTTGTCACGGCTATTTCTTCTTTAGGGGGAGACCGTTCGCATGTACATCACAATCCTTCTTTTTGCTAATGCAATTTGTTTTTTACGGAATTTATTTTTGGGGGGGGGGGCTAGACAAAAAATTTTTTTGGGGGGGGCGGGGCTACAGCCCCCCCTAGCCCCCCGTAGAACCGCGCCTGGGCTTTATACATTAGCAGAGTCATGAAATGAAGCCTTGATAATCATGATCTTGTTAATAAGAATTTAAACCTGTGCGATGCATGCTGTATATAGCTTGTATGCGTTTCCATAACACCAGTTGTCATGGTTGACACTGCATGGTCAAATTTCAAGTATAATGGATCAATGGACCATTTCGCCGGTCTCCACGTATAGTGAATGCGAGAGTCCGTGAGTCCGCTTGGTCATTTTTATTGCGATACAACAATCAAACACCGTGTGAACGACTGGTTGCTATTTTTGCGCGAAATGGTCAAGGACAGAATCCAGCAACAGGTTCTCTGATTGCAACCGAAATACGGCGCCAAATCATTGTTCTTACAACTGCGACAAATACTTTTCTCTAAGTGTAAACGTTTGTACATGTACATCGAAAGAGGCGAATAATGACACATTAATTTCAAAATCGTGCTCCTATCAATTTGCTCCAAGAATATCAGCACATGTCATTTTGACAGCAGTATTTTGATATCAGTATATGCTAATGTAAAACGTTACTGAAAGGATGTCATCTGCTGCCCCCCCCCCTACATAATAAGAACGGAATCAACCAAAACTTTGGATCCTTCCTGAACTATCTACCAACATTTACCTACATATATGTTTGTTTAATCACGAATGACAAATCGTTTCGGTTTGGATCATTTGAAGAAGTTTTCAGCACTCTGAGTTTTCTGTGTACCTTTTTGAAAGCGCCAATAAACAAGTCATGGCCAAAAAAAAATACCCAAACGGGCGAAACAAAAGGGGAGGTAGCAGTACGTGATAACCCACGGAATTTTGTGCTACGATCAATATCGTACCAGCCAATCAATACGGTATATTGTGTTGGATTGGAGGTCGGCCTTAACGAAGTGGAATGATATGCAACACGTTGCCATAGTGATGTATCACTTCGTCACTATCTACCACTGTCGGATTTCTAGACTTGTGCGTCTTGAGCGGCATTTTACAAACACGTGATTTATAGACGTGTATATGTAGCTGAAAAGTGTAAAAGCAAAGAAAGTATTATATTATAAGCAACAATCGAAGACTCCGGTAAAAAAACACGACCCTTGTTTATTACAGTTGAACGGCACCAAATATCTATCCTCATTCATTCACTGTTTACGTTTGTTTTGTGAAGTACCTTTTACTTCTAGGAAATCCCATTAAGACTAGTATGCCATACTTTCTATGAAACTGTAGTCCTATTTTGTAGTCACATGATCCAGATTTTCAACAAACCGCTCCGCACTCTAAGAACTGTGTTGAGCAATTAAACACAATCTTGCTTTCACTTTGCAAACATATTCGGAAGCTAAACATTATGTATCCTAAAGATCAATGTCATTACTAAATACTTCCCATCAATACTCTAGAATGCTTACTATACATGTTTACAAAATGACAGCAAGAAAGTGTTTAGAAACATGTTTAATTGCTTAATACAGTTTTTCTATTCTCTAATGAAAACATATCTCTTTAAATATATATTTTCTTTAAATATGGTTGGTTTAAATGTTAAATCCAGTTCAATTTAGAAAACAGCAATGCTTTGAGTTCGTCAGTTGTATGTCGGCATGACGCCAAGGGACTATATTTCTTGTACTTCTACATGCAGGAAATGGTATACCAAAGGTTGTCGAGTGTCTAGCGTCACGAACGATGACGTCACCTGTAGCTGTGGTTTCTTAGCCAATTATGCCCTGCTATTGCAACCAAATAAGGTGCGTCAAAATTTGTCTTTTTTTTATTAAAGGATTCTACCACTTTTGTATCACATTATTGTACATGAAATTAATCCTACAGGAAGAGGCTGGTGTGAAATTGTTGGCCTTTTGCATACTCAACAGTTGTATTCGCGCTGCCAATATTCATTGAATTGGTCTTGTTGATAGCGCCCCCTATCGCCGCGGCTGCTTCACTTTGCGCTTGTCAGGGAGCGGCTGCGTAAGGGCACTAACATTGAATCCAGTGTTACACCGAGACCAGGTTTGAAATCAAGACGTAAAAGGAAAGCCAAAAAACCCGCGAATCAATAACGTTTAAGCGTATACACAAGTAATGAAGTTTTCTTCCGAATAGTTGAATGCTAGTCTGTGATAACCGTTTTCACACGGTAATCGTGTCTCTTTAATTCGAATCCGAACGGTGAAGCTAAGGCCAATGGCGCATTGAGCGAAGACTACACAGTGCAGGCCGACCGCGATTTTTTTTTCCCGGGATGCTCCACAGTCATGAATAATTCAATATTTTCGATCGGGCCAGTATGTTTATTCATGAAACAGAACAATGATATCAAAAGCATTGCTGTTATAGTCAACCTGTTAAACATTTTAAAGTACGGACGTAGTCGAGCTACCACACAGTCTGAGCCTATAGTGGATGAGCTATGGATCCCTGGATCGAATCCGTCGTCGCTGCTCATTTTCAGCGACTGCTTTTTCTTCTCTGAATTTGTCGTTGAGGGGAGCTTAAAAGAGAACGGGATTCCAAGAAAAACTGAATTATGCCTGACTTTGGAGCATCCCGCCTCCGGAAACAAAATTTGCAGGCCGACCGACGTAGTCACAAGTAACTTGCGTGTGTAGTATTTACTGCAGTCGTATTATGACTTAATCTGCCGGTGGGGATATGGCATTATAATGCTATGAGTTCCGTGCACTACCAAAAGAGGGCGCCCTTTTACCTAGCAACGACGTCCCATGGGCGGTACATTTCGCTGGTTGACGCGCACCGTTCCTTGTGTGTCGCGCGTACACCAGGGGATTTGTTCTATGTACACGCAGTGGCCGCGCACCCCTTCGCTCGTACCCCCCGCCCTGCAAACAGGACGCTTGGATACTCTGATGAATTCGCGCTCTGATTGGTTGGATTTTGTGTGACCAGCGACCTGCGCGTCATCAAGGTCGTGACTCTGCAAGGTTTGAAACGGCCGTTAATATTGTTTCATTACTCTTTTATTCCAGTTTAGAGATGTTTTTTCTCGTTAAAAAGCGTAATAATGTAGGAAATTCTGTAAAACTTATCTGTGTTGTAAATTTACATTTCCCGTCGACGCGTCACTCGCTCAGACTCCGTTTCGAATCACGAACGGTCGGATTGCATTATGCGACGCTCAAAATTTTGCCCACATGGTCCGCAATGAAACAGAAATCACATCCGGTATGGAATATGCGCAATTCTATGGAAAGTTTTCGGATAGCATTTGCGCACATTGTCTAACTGCGGTCTTGAACAGCTGCAGCAAGATGCTTTATACATAGGTCATACGCCATTTCCTTCACACGATTCTGTGAAGCTCATCAGAGTATCCCAGCGTCCTGTTTGCAGGGCGGGGGGTACGAGCGAAGCGCACCCCCAACTGTACTTCCTTTGCCGGTGAGGGGGTACTTGTGAACGGAGCGGATAGTGTAAAGCGTTAATTGTGTGGCTGATTACAGTCGCGACCTGAGTATTCGCAGGAATATGTGCACGTGATCACTGTATACATTCACGAGGCCCTTTAATGGCGAAATCATTGTGCTTCGTACATGTATATTGTAGGCTACATCATCACTGAAGAAGATAATTGAGGGCGCTTCACGAATGAATCACGGCCAAACACAATACGTATTGAGCGAGAGGAACACTTTAATGAAACAAGATGGCTGCGCCCATGGGATGAAGTACTAACCGGACGCAAGTGGGCGCTATAAGGGTGCACTGAACCAATTCAAGCCCCATTGAAAACAGTGTAAAATCCACAAAGTTCAGGGCCAAATAACATGCAAGCCGACATCACTGGGGTTTCTGAAACAAAAATTTAATTATTTTCTAATCCTTCATCTGCCTATTTCTTTTCAATTTTGGGTGGGTTAGCCGATTACATTTTTAATTATTCACCACAAAACATAATCACCTCCCGAAAAGTGGTACTTCCCAATACTACATGCAGCCATTTTACAAATGGCATCCATCCACTTTCTCAGGCAAATAGGACCCATTTTTAAACCGTGATTTTATCAAATCTGCTCTCAGATGGAAGCCCAAAAACCAGGGAGTTGATCCTCAGCTATATGTACACAATTCCACCTTTTTTAACGCCAACCAGTCTCCTTTTTTAAAAGAAATTGTGGGGTCACTTTTTATGCTAATCGGCTGGCGTAGAAATTCTCACTTAAATTCTCACTTAAATTCTCACTTAAATTCTCACTGCACCCATGACCAACTGGCGCAGAGCAACTGTTCCATGGCTATCTGACCAAAACAAGCACAATGTTTTAGCCATTAAAGGGGGCTTCTGTAATATATTTGGGCTGTAGCTAAAAGGCTCGGCTGATATGTGCTCGGAATCTGCAATATGGTTTACATTCAAATAAATAATTGCTTGTCTTGGTAATTTTTGTGTTTGTAGGAGGCTAACACTCCAGGGATGGACCTTCTAACACCGTTCGGCCTGGTTCTATCCTTTGCAACTCTCTGCGTAGTCCTGCTGGCTTACAGGTTCTCTCGGTGAGTTGCAAGTTACACTTCACGTAATGAATATTCATAAGCCACACGTTCTTATTTTCATTGGTTAACTATGTGAAGGAAGGTAAAACACCACGCGCCATTGGTTTCTCTCAACGCTCTACAACAAATTCCTTTTTCTTCATCTCGTAAAAAAAGGTTCGGCTTGCATCTTTTTTTGTGTGTTTGTTGCCGCTCTTCAACCCTCTGAAAATGGTTTTTCAAATTATCGGTCGTTTTTGCGTCCAAACGTATCTGCCTTGAAAGTGAACCGGTTTACGGTCCTCCTGATACGGGAGAGAACCAGGCTAACGTGCAAGAGCTAAATTGATTTCGGACCCATGGGCGTCGCCAGGATTTTTTTCCAGCGGGGGGGGGGGGGGGGGGGCAAAGCACAATTGTCCCCAAAATTCCTTAACTTGTCCATTATATTCTCAATTTATCATTTTTCCGAGATTGAGCAAGGGAGCATTTGCCCTACCTCGCACCTCTTTTTTTTTTTCCTTCCCTTTTTTTTGGTTTTTTTTTGCGTTTTCCAGGGGGGGGGGGGCAAGTTCCCCCCTTGCCCCTCGCGACGCCCATGTTCGGACCCCAAATAATTAAAAATTGGAAAATTAATTAGTCTGTCTTTAAATGTTGACCGGTTATTTACGATATCTCATTTTAAAGTGAATAACCTTGGTATTCCCCCCCCCCCCCAAAAAAAATAGAAATCATTCATTTTTTCGGGGGGGGGGGTGATACTCAAAAATAGCATGGGCGGTACATCTTTAAATAAGTTATTTGCGGCACTGCACATTCAATACAGAAATAAATGCAATCGGAATCATAATCTATATCCAAACAAAAATCCCTAAATGGCTCCAGATTTCACTACGTTAATAAATCAGTTAGATATACTATAGGCATTCACTATTATGTAGGCCTAGTTTTAAAAGTAATAAAAATACGAGAATAACCGAAAATATATGTTCATCAATCGTTTCCCGCAATACACATCCCATGGATACCGTAAAGGACAATATGAAACATGTATTCATCTTGTAACTCCGAGTTAACATTCACTGGGCCTGCCAAAAATAGACTGGTCAACCCTAGCCCCAACGTGAATTGCAACCATTGGATCCGCGCTAGTATCAATGCTAAAGTTGGCGTTACCTGACTGGTCAACACGGATGGTTGGCCCGCTGCACGTAGCGGTCAAAGGATCAAAGTCGCCTACAATTATGTTACAGTATTCCCCGGTCGGTAAGCCGGTATTCAGTGCCTGTGAAAGTCGGTAATCATCGTTGTTGATGACGACAAAGGCTCTATCGCCTCGACCAAATGCAATCTGCTGGCTACCGTTACTCCACCAGTTTCTTAGAGGCTGGCCGGCTGCGATGTTACGGAACGCCACCATGTTCCTGATTGGTCTCCATCGGTGCTCACACACCCAGCCTCCCCCGCATGTACCGTCCTCGTACACGGTAACAGTCAGCGTGTATCCATTGGCGTCGGCAGGTGGACCCGCTTCGGTGTTATCAAAGACAAAACTGCTCATGACCCGAGTGAAGCCATAGGGGTAGGCCAACATGAAGACATTGGATATCTTATATTTTTCGGGTTCTTTGAAGGTGATGATGCCTTTTCCTCCTCCGTGTCCACGCTGGTTGTCATGGTTATCAACAAAGACCAAAGCGGAGGAATCATCGAGCATCCCCTCCGACTTCATCCAATTATTGATATTGCTCAGATTTCTAAGACCCCTCACTGCTTCTCCCAGTTGCGGTCCGTATTTAAACTCGGTCACCCTACCGAACGGTACGTACTCGGCTTCTGTCATGTTTCGCCGTATCCCAGCCCCGTTTTTATCGATGACTTCCTGATAGACGAAGGGACGACGTCCGCTGGGGAAATACTCCGTACTCAGGTTGTTCAGCCTCCTGAGTATGTTGCCAAGATCTTCGGGCCAGATGTACTTTGCAGCATCCACGCGGAATCCAGTCACGCCCATATCAATCAGATGATTCATGTAGTCAGATATCTTGGCTCTGACGTCATCTCTGGATGTGTCCAGATCGGGCAAACCCAGCAACCTACAATTGCGGACCTGATTTACGTCATCGTTATCTTCCACGTTACCGCTATCGGACTTGCACTTGTTATTGGTTCTGCCGAAATCCGTGATGTTATAAGGCACACCGGGGTAGTTCAGCGTATTAACGTCGTACCAATTTCCTGCTATTCCGTATCCAGAATCTGCATATTAAGTAAACAAGGGAGTAAACTTAAGAATATTCAAACTCGTTATGGGTGGTCATGTTTTTGCGTTTTTCCAGTTTCTGATTCCGCCGAACACTACTGGGACTCTGCTGTCCTTGGTAAAAACAAGGCTTGCCAAATAAAATGGAGTATAGAAAGTATGTAGTGGGCGTGGCTTATATGAAAATGACGTTACACTTACGAACCGGATAGAGCGTGCAAGTCTCGTCAGTCCACATTCATGTTTGTGTTTGAACGTCTTAGAACCAAACACTGACTAATCTAGTCGCAGACTCTTTTTTATGACTTTACCCCTTCTTGTTATCTGAGTGATCGATTGAACGGAAGCTGAGATCAACAACTTTAATTTTTATAATAACCATCAATTCGCAATATTTTCAATATAAATATGTTGTAAATTAATTTTTCTTTTTCTTTTTGAATACACATTATTTTAGTGCCCTTGATTTGATGGGCCCAGTCAGGACACACTCTAAATGCAAAACTAGGACGTTACACACGTATAGTAGGTCATATACCTATTGCCTGAATATGCAGTAGTCTCGTAACCACCATAAAAAAATGAAAACATCTTTGGAAATAGTTTCCGACTCACCTCCTCGGGCCATGTGGTTGATGACAGCATCAACGTAGATCCTGACACCGGCCTGGTGACACCTCCGAATCATATCCCTCAGTTGTATCTCCGTACCTGAGCGGCTCGTTAGCTCATAGCTGACGGGTTGATATCGCTCCCACCACGGCCGCCAAGGGCTCCTGATGACACGGTGCTCGCTGGGTGGTGAGATCTGCACTCCACCGAATCCAAAGGGTCCAAGGTATCTGTGGGTTTATAGGATTCTCGCTTTAATGTCTCGCTGAGTTTTTGTTTCAGACGAACCTGGCAAATTTAAGAACCTACGTTCACAATTCGTTTGCTGACTGAGAATCTGATTGCTTTCTTAAAATCTAAAATTTAGCCAAATTGAGTGTGTACTGACGCAGCCTCCCTATATGGTATTACTGTAGAACACAACTACATGGGAGAAGTTCAAAGAACTACAATGTAACACGGACTACAATTTATACAAAGATCAGGCTTAACTATTTGGGCTTAAATCGAAAATTTCAATTAAGGACATGATTTATACTCAATGACTCAGTCAGTCAGTTTGTTCAATCATCAGCCCGCCAGTCAGTTATTATACGTGGCATTCTCAGTCAATGATTTTTCAGTCTGAGAACAATAGGTTGGCTCAAGTGTTTAAAAAAAGACCACGGATAAACTCGAGGTTTCAGCCAGTGTGTTTTGACCGCGTTCACGAAAACCAACATTGTCAGTTTTAGCCACACCTACCTTTCGCACTCGTCTGCAATGTCGGTCCACTTCCATTCGAACAGGTGAACTATGACCTGCCTGTTGTCTACAGTATGAGGGTCCCACTGGGCCGAGCAGGAGCACAATAAAACCATTATCAAACAAAACATCTTCATTTTCTGATGCAGGGCCTGTGGAAACACAAATGTAAAGAGAACTTGGGATGGTGATACGGGAGGAATAAAATTTCGCTTGATTATCAGACGACTGCAAACGCTACAAGCCTTTCTTCCATATGAAGGTTACCGCTTGTGTTGTACCACGAACACAACTAACGAAACTCAATTCCATACCACGTATTAGTATCAATACCTAGCACTCTTTAAACATGGAATTCCAACTGTATTCGGCATTACCACTTTGTTTTTAGGGTCCAGTAACACAACACCAGACCTGAAGTAGTATCCATTATAAGAATGATACCTGAAACTTATTTCCGTGTTCAGTTTCACTTAATTGGCAGTTCTCCGCGGCTGTTGGGCGGTGAAATAATATCGAAATTCTAGTTGTATATTACTTTGTCTTGCTTGTATGGTTTTATGTTAAATAGCTATCATCTGTGTAGCGTTTCATCGGTTCTGCAACCGCATCGTTATTTAATAGTTTTAGCATCTCAGTGCACACTAGCCGCGTTTCCCATACGCAACGTCCCGTGGTCAACGAGGCGAATAATCATGCATTACTAATGCAGTCACAGCATAATTGGAGTGTGTTTATACAAAATAATCCAATTACCTTCGGCATTCCATACAACCTGAATATAATTATAATACAACTAACAACAAAACGATGCAATGCAAAGATGCATGGAATTGTACCAACACACTTCACAATGGATAAGTAGAGAGTAGACAGAAGACAGTAGACATGAACGTTAAAAACAACCTTCTGTCATGCAGTAGTTTTGGTATATATGCAGGGGCGGCGGAACCGGAGGGGGGGGGAGGCTGCACTTGCCATTTCTCAAAATGGTTTAGAAAGTTCTGATATGAACGAGAAACATGAAAACCAAGACCCAAAACCCTTACAATGCGCCCTGAAAATGGCAGGTTTTGAAGAGCGCCTCCTATTTTGGAAGATGTTACCAGCCACCCCCCCAGCACGGATGCGCAAGTGCCCCTTTTTGTTGATGCCCCCCCCCCCCCCGTTTGAAAACCGTTCCGCCGCCGCTGTTTTTATGTATCGTAATAAGCACCAAGTCTTCGTATGTTGAAACTGAAAGTTATATGAACAATAAAGAATAAACCAAAAAGGACAATCGTTGGCACGTAGGCCTACTATATAGACCTCGAAACTGACTACTGACCTTTTTTCCCCTAGTTTGGTTAGTAGTACTAGCGCCCCAGCCGAAAGGGCCCCTACCACGAAAACTATGAATGCTGTATTTTCACGAAGATCCACATCACAAAGTTGCCAAAAATCACGGCAAAAAATGACAAAATACAGAGCGCCTACTCAACTGGCTTCTCCACGTGTCAAAGACGAAATAATGGGGCTTCAATGGCACTCACGATCATTTTTTAAAGCTGCAAATCAATGGAAAATGCCCAGTTTCCGGCGCACCACACATTGCCTGCTTGTGAATTTTTATTTGCAGCATACATCGTATTTTAACCAATCACATCACGTACCCTAATATGAATATTTATCTCGCTGTGTGGACACCGTATTTTTTTTCACTTCAATTATACTTATCCCACTCCAACACAAATATTTGATGAAAATGGACATGGGTTCGAGCCACAGATCTTGCGATCCAAAGTTCTTTTCACTATCCACTAGGCCACCGTGGCAGCTCGACGAAAGCCGTTCTTCGAAACGCTTTAATGTACATGTACGACTGAGTGTAGCAATGGTGTGACGTCATCTTACGAATTAACATCGACTAGCTGGATAATCATGATCCATTGACGATGTGTGCTGCAAATAAAAACGCCGCTTTATTCCGTGAATGAGACGTGAACTCTGCAAATCAAAAATTGATACAAAATTTGTTAATAAGAGCTCCATAAACCCCGGCTTGACCCACAGACAAGATGGAGGGCAGGAGCGGAATATTTTGTATTTTTAGATGAAAGAAGTAAGACCTTAATTGAAAAAAACAGTCGTGCTGTTTCCCGGATTTCAATAATGTTATTTGGAAATTATTGTTAAAACATTTATATCTTATTCTCATGGAAAATTGACTCCTTCTGCAGATCAACCAGCTGTCGTACTGTGACCCACGCAAGTCTATCGTTGGCAATGGTGGCATTATACTCGACGGTCTTTTTCCGGGACGATGAAAATCCGGTAAGGAAAGAAGGCTTAATTGACGTTTTACAACCATTGGGTTCGCTAACGGACCTGCGCAAAGAACAAGAGGAATCTGAAAAAAAACTACGAAGTTTTGAAGCTCAAGTCGTTTTAAATTACTCATTAAAATGTTAATTCACCGCATCAAAATGCCAAGTACTCGAGAATCACTAACACAATTTATTTATTTATTATTATTTTATTTTCTGAAAATGTGCCACATTTCATTTTATACTACATAAACACTAAAATAATTGCATTGAATGTCATTGTTTCTTGAATTTCTTTGTTTCCTGCAGGTTATCAGCACCACCGTCGCCATCTTGTTTCACTTCTTTTTGCAAGCTACTTTCATTTGGATGGCACTAGCGGGCGCTCTCTTTTATCTGACGTCACACGATGAGCACACATCTACCTCACGGATCCGACCACGTGCATTATTGCTGATAGGCTGGGGTAATGAATCGTATAACTAACTAAGACCAAACAAAAATACATGAACGTCAACAACATACCTCAAGTGAAGACAAACAATATAGGACCTTCCCAAAACAGATATACCTCTTGCGAAAAATGATCTGAATATTACCCACACAACGTCCATGAGACCGTTTCGATCTTAGATAACTCTACTTGCCTTTTCTATGCGGGCTGTTATACGTTATTGAAGTAAGATAAACAATATTGACGGAGGAGGCCTGGAAGTGGTTGGTGAGTTGCGGTGTCACTTAACTCTACTTTACAACGGCATGATGCTGTACAGTTTTTGGTTCAAAAAGCTGGATAAGCTGAAAATCCCTCGATCTATAGCCAGGCGCGGTTCTACGGGGGGGGGGGGGGGGGGGCTAGGGGGGGCTGTAGCCCCCCAAAAATTTTGTCTAGCCCCCCCAAAATAAATTCCGTAAAAAAAAAATTGCTTTAGCAAAAAGAAGGATTGTGTTGTACATGTGAACGGTCTCCCCCTAAAGAAGAAATAGCCGTGACAAGGGTGCATTAGTTAATATAGTGCAAGGGCTGATCCAGGAGGGGGGGGGGGGGGGGGGGCAAAGGGGGCCATGCCCCCCCCCCCCCAAAAAAAACCAATTTATGTGACATCGCAATAAAGGCAGGCAATGAGTACACCACCATCTTTTCCTCAAAAACAATTGGTTAAAGTGGTCAGAAATTGCCTCAGATCACACCACAGAGCATCTAGAATCCAAAAATTGTTCGGGTTCCTTAAGCGGGCCCCGAACCCCACGCCGTAATTTTTGGACCCAATTTTTGGAGGACCACAATTTTTTTTGGCCCCCCACAAAAAAAATTGTGTTCTGGATCCGCCCTTGCTATAGTGTGAATGATTTTAGGATTATATTGGCGCTCCCCATTGAAACTATGGCATGAGCCCCCCCCCCCCCCCCCCCCCCACCACCACCTATTGATTTTCAGAGGCCTAAGTGTCTGGAAAAAATAACCGGTCAACATTTCAGCACGCCTCCCTGAAAAAAAATTCTGGATCCACCGTGCTAGCCCCCCCCCAAAAAAAATATTGGTTCTAGAACCGCGCCTGCTATAGACGCATCCGGGTACGTGATTACTATGCCGACAAGAGGCCCCCTTTAATGGCGACAGCATTGTTGAGGCTGTTGTGCGAAGCTACGGGCTCATGGCGAATTATGACAATATCTAGCGCAATGCTTTTGCTAGCGAAGGGGCATTCGGGATACAGGAGCATGCATTGATGATCTATAGATCAGCCCGAACGGATGCTCCTTTCAGTGAAAAGAACACCGTGCAAAACAGATCTTTTCATTGGCTAAATGCAGTGTGGCATTGACAAGTGTTTGAGCCCACTCGGGCAGTGGGCGGCACTGCATGGATCAGTATGTTCCTATATGAGCCTATTTCAGATATGACAGACACAATAGGAGGGCGCTGTTTGATTTGACTAAAGTCTTTTGGATTAACCCAAACCAAATAGCGCCCTCTTATGTGTCTGTCATATCTCAAATACGCCAATAGAGGTATCACTGTGTACAACTATTACAATCAGTCGCGTATGTTCTCAAATCAGTGCTCGCCACCCGCCCTTTAATTCGTAAGTAAACGCGAAGCCTAGCCACAGTCTGAATTTCCTGCTCGCAGACAAGCGACACCGCCTTATGAAACAGACACGTCCAAAGGCTGCCTAATATTAATACCAATCATTTCGGTCTTTTTTTAATGCAGGGTGCGCTGCAGTGGGGGCGGTTGCTTCAGTGGCAGTTGGTCTTTGTGGTTGTGCAACAAGCACAGGAAGGTACTGACTGTTTGAGAGCTTCTCACATGGACGTGAAAGTTGTCACTCGGGCTAGTTTGGTTTGTCCTAGAGGCTAGCCTAGTGTCTTCTTTGTCTGTGTACCTATGCAGCAGAATGCCACATTGGCTAGCTGAATCATTGACACTCGTGACTTAGCCCGGTTTTTGCTGTTGAAGAGAGCTGGGCAGTGCTATCGTATATGATTACCCGAAATGGGCGGAACCCGGCCCAGTGTGTACACCAGATACTTAGACCCGTTGTGTTGAACATAATTCCATTGAACAGCCATTTTGAATCAATTCAATAAAATAATGTGTATTCTAATGCCAGCTTTAATGTGCTTGCCATGTACAGTGTGTATATATAAAACAATCAAACAAAATTTAACGGAATGCCAGACATATTGTGTTACCAACATAGTTTACAAATATTGAATGCTTCGAGTGGTGTAGTAAAACTAGCCTCCCGAGGTGATCCATGGACATTCTATTTTACCGAGGCGAAGCTGAGGGAAAATAGAATGCTCCATGGATCACCGAGGGAGGCTAGGTTTACTTCACCACGAGATAAAGCATTCAATATTTGTTTTATATCACTTCACCGACAGAATCTGCTTGGTTTTAATATTTTAAATTATTTAAATCTGAACACAGTTGAAAGTAACTTCAAATACCGCGCCGTGGATATAGTACTTTGGTTGCTAATGGTATAGTACTTTGGTTGCTACGGGTATAGTACTTTTGGCCGTGCACAGAAAAATAGCAAAAATAGAAAGTATCGTGTGACTCGCTCTCGGCCAATCAAGACACAGAATCCGTTGGTGAGGTGTTATAATGTAATATATGTATTGTTTGAAAGATACGCCTTTTCACTTTAAAATGAGACATTAATTGTCCAAATCTGATAATGTTTGACAGAGTTATGAGTAATTTTCCAAGAAAGATCAAATTGACCATGGGACCAAGTTTTCAATTTTAAGCATTGAGACAAACTAAGGTAGCCTAATTGCCAGGTGTGGACATTTGCATGGCCTACTTATGTTTTGTGAGTAAACACGATTCTAAACACTTTCTTGCTATTGCCTCGTGCTAAAAATGTTTAGCATGTAAACATGTTTAAAAACTGATCAAGATTGGCCATACAAGATACACAATACAGAAGAGAAAAATTCCTTAAGAACGAAAGACAAACCGTCGCTATATTTTTTTTTTACGTACGATGAACAGATATCCCCGTCAATTTGTAAGAATTGTTGTAAACAATAAGTTATAATTGTGGCACATCATGGCGCCCTCTGTGTCCCACATTTTTATACCTTTACGTTAATAAGAAACATAACGATCTTTCATTTTCTTCTTTCCTAGCTGCTGGTTGTCTAGTGATGATGTCTTTGTCTGGCAACTCATGGGTCCTATTGTATACATGTTTGCTGTAAGTATCAACATATGTTTTGCTGGTCCAAATAGGGACCGGGCTTTAGACCGTTATTATGCTGCCACCATTTCTGTCATGTTCCTTGTATCCAATAACAGTACTGAATGATACTGTTTTTTGTGCAAAAAGTAACCAGACTATTTTTCCTTCCAGCCTCGCTTTGGTTACGTTGAATTGAACGGGAAATACAACAAGATGGCCGCAACATGATAATGGTCTATAGCCTTCTCTGTAGCTATGCCTATACCTGACTGACTGACTAAATTACTCTCACCGTATACCTGTGGATAACATGTCTTTATGTGTAACAAGTTTGAAGTAGAAGTACCTGTTATGGCAGTCGGTTACACCTCTATGTTCCGACACCTTTATGTTCCGACACCCCTATGTTCGGACACCCCTATGTTTCGACACCTATATGTTCCGACAACTCAACCAATGTTCTGACACCTCTATGTTCCGACACCCAAATGTTATGTCACCCCTTTGTTCCGACTATTCAACCTATGTTCCGACACCCTATGTTGCGACTGCACATATTCTTATCCCTATCCCTAACCTTAACCCTTACCCTAAACGTAACCCTATATCCCTGACCATCACCGGGAGTAACACAATCTTGTGTTGAGGTTGTCGGAACATAGGGGTGTCGAAACACAGGCTGAGTATAGTCGGAACATAGGGGTGTCGGAAGATAGGGGTGTCCGAACACAGGGGTGTCGGAACATATGGGTGTCGGAACACAGGTTGAGTAGTCGGGACATAGGGGTGTCGGAAGATAAGGGTGTTGGAAGATACAGGTGTCCGAACACAGGGGTGTCGGAGCATAGGGGTGTCGGAACACAGGGGTGTCGGAACATAGGGTTGTCGGAACATAGATCGATTATGTTTCTAATAATGTTTTATGGTTTGCGTATTATCCAGATCAAGGCCTTGATAACCTGTCGGTTGACCGGGGGAATGGGATGGAAAGAGAGAAAACTGAACAGCCAAGAGACGGTCCAAATAAGGTAAGAACAAAAAAGTAATGAAATCAGAGTTGGACTGATTATCAATAGGCCCCTAATGCCTGTTAAGTAACTGAATTAACGTTTTCTTTAATTTGGAAGAGTTATACAGGATGACACAAAACCTTAAAATTGGGTTTGGGTTCAGAATTTCGCAACTGGAACAGTACTTGAGTGAATTGAATGATTCTTTTAGTCAAATATAGCATATTGATTTGGCTTTCACATCCTAGATCTGAAAGTGCTACATGCGTAACTGTTTAAAGAAAATATTTGGGTTTCCTTTTTCGTTTGGGATGTTTAGCTCGACAAACTGAGGGGGGGGGGGCTTGTACCATCTGTCGATGGGGGCACTGTTTAAAATCGACGAGTATGCACACTATCGGATAATATATGGCGCTTTTCATGGTGTTGCATGTGCGAAATTAACAAAAAGGCGCTCGTAAAAGCCGCCGGTACAAAAAAGTGCACGACTATTTTTCAGAAGGGCAGTTGTTCAGAAAAGGTGCACTTGTTAACAAAATAAGGACAGTCTTTACAAAATATTAGGGTGGGATACCCCCTTAACCCCCCCCCCCCTACCGGGCTACGCCTATGGATGTATTTACTTCTACTATGAACGGTTGTGCTATAGACGCCTGTGCGATTAAATTAGCGGGTATTTAGTGTATTTTCATTTAATGTGCCGGGAGGTTTATATATTTTGATTAAGCTTCAAAGTGCATGTGCCTCGTCGTGAACAAAATGCGTTGTGGCGTCATATCGGCAGAGATTGCAAGACCTCCAGGTTCCCATTGACCATATGAATTTATTTTCTTTTTCTTGTTTTTTGTGGCAAATATACTAGTAACGCCAATATTCAGTTTTAACATCGCTTAGAGTCTATGCCCAAGTAACAATTCTGACAAGAAAGGTTTTCAGAATGAAATTGCCAAATCCTGATTTTTAAGTCCGTTTCATTGGATGGATGAATCGCAAGGCATTGATTTAAACTGGTTCCCAAATTTAAACTATGGCAATATAATCTAGCGTACAATGATTTTCTGAACGTACCTGTTTACAGATCAGGACTACGGATGGTCGTCGTACTCGAGCCGTTCGTTTGTTTGTTGTGGATCCTGGGTCTTTCCTACTCTACTGATGGCAACATATTTTTAGCTCATGCCTTCGTGACCTTGAATAGCCTACAGGTACGTTTTATGAAGCATTCTGTCGGTCGTACAGAGTTATTATGTTCGTGCCGATGTTTACATTCGCTGACCTATTTGTCGTTATCATCACACTCATTACATAATATACTCGTATTTCAATAGAGTGCATATTTTTATTCGTTGAAGTTTATAAGTAATTCATCAAAAGGCCCATATAATTCTACGTTTGATCCATATAACGCCATTGTTAAAACAAAAAACGAAAAATAGTGCGACATCATTTTATTCAATAAAGACAGTAAAATAAAGAAGCTGATTGGACGGTCCAACATTATTTTGTAGAAAGTTAATGTTATCTTTTAAACCTTTCTTCTTTCTTCTTAAATAAAACAGGGTCTCTTCGTGTTTTGCACCAGCTGTTTGATGGAAGATGACGTAAGTTTGAACTTCCTTCACTGCTTCTTACACAGACAAGAGACATTTAAAAAAAATTCCAAATAACTTCCCCAAATTATCAACAACAACAAAGTAAACAGACATTTGAAGTCATACAATTTGTGCAGTTATGAAGGTTCTTTTTGACTAATCATATAAGAAATTTTTGAAGATGTCATTCACAAATTAGTGACGTTTCACTGCTACCCTAGCAGCTCCTTCAGACTGGCAACCCAAACTACTCGACACTGTCCCTTTTTGGCTGCTTGAAACTGCCCTAGAAAATTGGACAGAACCACCAGACGAGTCACAGAAGCCATTTGGATACACCGGAGGGGAGACAACAGCATTCTCAACAAGGACGAGGGGGCCTACAAACTGAACAACATCTTTGACCAACTCGTCCATACCACGCCCTCTACGGCAGCTTGAAGCAGCTTTAAAGGGACGGTGTGGCATGGTATGGGTTGTCGGTCTGAGGAAGCTGCCAGGCTAGCAGTGAAACGTCACTAATCATCTGCACAAATCTCTGTTTGGATTTGTCAAAAAGAACCTTCGTAAATATTCTGTCAAGCAATCCAGATGAACTTATTCAAAGATATAATTTGTGTGTTTTCCTAAAAATTTCACGAATTGCAATTCCATTCCTTCGTTTCAACGCAGGTTTCTGAGGAATTAAACGCGACAAGGGACTCGAGCACAGAATCAATTGAGAAATGAAACATTCCACGTGCTGCAGGTGAGTTACATTACATTTTACCGGATTTCCCCCCCCCCCCCTTAGCATTTCAAATCTTCCTATCCCAACCCAACCAAGCCAACCAGCCCAGCCCAGCTGGGTATTCTGCCCAGTCTAGCTAAGCTCGCAGAGCTGTCCTTTCTTACTTAGCCCTAGCGCAATCAAAGCCAGCCTAGCCCTTCGCTCATCTTAGCCTTGGCCAGCACTATTCAGAACCCAGCAGTAACCCAGTCCATCCGAACCCAGCTCATCGTAAAAAGCTAGCCCATTCCCCTATAGCAGCTCAACCCAACCTAGCCCAATCCTATCCAGCTAAACCAAAACCAAGCTCAACCCAGACCAGCTCAGCCAATCCAGGCCAAGCCAAACGCCAATACTAGCCCATCTATCTGAGCGCAACCATTCAAAACACAGGCCAGCTCTGGCCATAACCAAGCCAGCCAATCAATGCCAACCCAGAGCAACCCATCCAAACAAACCTATAGCCCAACCAAGGCCAGCCCAGTAGGCCTACTGCCTTGCCAAACTCCAGCGAACAAAGTCACACTAAAACGTAACCAAGCACACAAGTCGAACTATTTGAATCGCTTTCAGTTCCTGCCACACGAAGCATAATAGAAAGTGGATTTGGCCTACACAGCCCTAACAAACTCACCCCAGACCAGCAAAATCCATCACAACATTAAATCTTAAAGTGCTTTTTAAGAATCTCATTGCACAGACGGTAATAGTTCTTTTTGTAGTTTCTAATGTTTTACTTGTTCTGGGTAAAAAGATTAACATTTCACAAGTTCTTTGTTCAAACATTGGTAAAAACATGTGCACCCGCCTTTGAAATCGTCAGGCACCAGCCCCAGTAACAATTAAGAAACATCTATTTCACAAAAGCGTAAACAAACATACTCAAATAAATCAATCATTTGTTCCTCACTTTAATTCTTATTTCTTTTGTCACCTACAGCCACGAGGAAGAGAGCGTGTTAGCCTACGTGCGAGCACTCCGGAATTAAGTGCCTTAGACAGATGGTCTTGAGACAAGAGAATTTGGTTATTGCAATTAACTCTACCTTATGTATCAGTTAGTTACACGTATCTCTTTAAGACGCCTCTTAGAGGCCCCGTATGAGCTTGTACCATCAACACCTGTATGTAAATATCAGTATATACAGGGTGAGTCAAAAAAAGCGGAACCAAAACCCCCCAAAATATATTTCATATATAAAAAAATATGAAGCACCAAAAATAATAATGACTGGAAAGCCAATTTCATAAGCTACTTTTAGATGAAAAAAATACTGAAATTGCTCAATCCGTTCAAAGAATATCACCATTTAAACGCAACGACCCTAAAACCTTTCTCGTCCAAAAAAGCAATTTATTGTGTGTTTTGACTGTTTGGAACAACAAAGAAAATGACACAGAATACTTGTTTCAACAACTGTCATCACCTGTAGTGCACAATATCTTTATTAACAACCCCGGTTAGGCAAACAATATGATATATAAAATCTACTTTTTTTTAAAAAAGACGGGCCTTCAAAAAGACTTCGTTGAATATTTTTAACGTTTAAACTGAGATTTTATCGCTGGTGATGTTTGAAGACAATTGTGACGACGATTCTTGAAATCGCATTTTTTTGGACGAGACAGGTTTTAGGGTCATTGTGTTTAAATGGTGATATTCTTTGAACGGATTGACCAATTTCAGTAATTTTTTCATCTAAAAGTAGCTTATGAAATTGGCTTTCCAGTCATTATTATGTTTGGTGCTACATATTTTTTTAAACATGAAATATATTTTGGGGGGTTTGGGTTCCGCTTTTTTTGACTCTGTACAAGTATATCATCGTTTGCTTCATTATCCGTTCTCACTATGCGGCTGTGGTACTAATTAAACACAAATGCCTTTAGAATGCTTGTGAAAAAGTAATTATTAACCTCAAAATGGCTAACTCTACCGTGAATGGTTCATCAATGAAGACATTTTGAAAAACTAATTTATTTGGATATCAATATTATTATGCTGAATATGCTGAAGGTATTTTGTAACCGTTGCTTCTTTGATGTTATTTTTATTCTACGGGAATGCAAACCAATAGCGGTATGTACTGTACTGAACTACTCTGTAATGATGTAGCACCTTTACATCATTAAGTTATTAATAATGTACTGCTTTCTACGCCTTAGCACCCATACTGGTGTATGCACTGTACTGAACTACTCTGTAATGATGTAGCACCTTTACAACATTAAGTTATTAATAATGTACTGCTTTTTGCGCCTTAGCACCCATACTGGTGTATGTACTGTACTGAACTACACTGTAATGATGTAGCACCTTTACATCATTAAGTTATTAATAATGTGCTTTTTTGCGCCTTAGCACCCATACTGGTGGATACACGCGTTTTATATATTCAGATTTGTCTTTACAAGTTTCCTTTTTTCATCTAAAATGGCAGCTTTATCAAATCTTTAATATTGGAAATATTTGTGACTAGTGTCGTATGATGATATTATTCAACTAATTTATATAAAATAATGCTTGTCAACAGGTAAAGACATATCTGCATAACATAATAAAAGTAATATTCCGACTGATGCTTGAAAATTGGATCCTTTCCTCTCTTTTGATCTGGTTTCGCTGGGAAGTTGACAACGACATGGTCATTTAAATGGTTGGTACGACCAACCTGAATGAACACATCTGGAGTTTAATGAATATTCCTTTTTGGTACTTGAGGTACTAGTTGATGCTTCCATTCAAATGAAGATTCATCTGATGGCAAAATGCATGCATACATTAAAATGATAGAAACTAAACGAAAAGGAAATATAAATCCCAAGGTGATTTATTTGTTGTATAAAAATGTTGCATATAAACAATGAGGTGGTGGAGACAATTACACAATAATTAAGTAGCAAAATGTGTCTATCATTTTTTTTTTATTCAACTAAAACTGTTTTAATTAATTAACACTGAAAATGTGAGTAACACTTTATCAAACACATATTTTTAAAACACATTTTTAGAACAGAGGATTCTTTTTCCAAAGATTTTTTTACGTAGTTAAATAAAAAAAATCATCATCCAATTTCAGATTTAAAAAAAACAATTAAGAAATCATGTGTGACATTATGTTACATTTATGTAATATTTCCGACATTCATTATTCACATCATCGCATAAACTACAAAAAGGAATTACGCCAAATTTACAAGACCAGTACTGCACCTGACATCAAACATCTTAATTTACAATTATTAAATCCCCCCTCACAAACGGAACTCCTCCCTCTACGAAAAAAAATCAAATAGACCAGAAATCCCCCCACTAACAAGGGGCAAAGTTTCAAGTTTTAATTAGTGATTTGTTTTTAAACTAGTGTACCTCTTCATTAAGTGTTGGGTGTAGTTCAGGGATGTATTAACCCCATGAGGGATTAAGTTGACCTTTTAATAGTAAGCAGACTTGTACATGTATGCTTTAGGCCAAACAAAAAAAGTCTCCGGTTTCTGGTATGCGCGCGCGTCGCCGTAGCCATGCGCGTCGGCAAAATGAAAACGTTTTTTTTTCAATGAAAGATGATGTCTCCAAACCGCCAAACTCACTGGTTTGACTGGAATCCTGCTGCTGCACAATTTTAACGTGTTTTTAGATTGGGTTATGGTCGAGAATAAGCTTTATGAGGCCTCTCTGGACTCCCATATATTTGCACTTAAAGTTTAGTCGGGCACCATTTGCAGTCATCAGCCGACATTTGAAGCAAAAAAAAACAGGTAAAAAAAAAAAAAAACGCGTCGCCGCACCACTTTTTGGGCAAGCTCCATACCAGAAACCGGAGACTTTTTTTTTTGGCCTTATGTTAAATTTTTTAAATATCCCCAAAACAACATATTGCTCTTATTCCGTAAACTTTGTTTTGTTAAAACTTTGTTTTGTTAAACTTTGTTTCGAATGACAATAAAACGTTAACAAGAAAATTAAAAACAAATGTTTCTAGTTACTGGTTAAGACTAGAGTAAAAAGTGGAATGTTAATTTGTTTTTAAATGTTCCATATTACACAACATAATTAACTAGTTATGATATTCAGCTATTCCAAACCAAACCATATCACCATGATTAAAGAGACATATGCACATAAGGAAACAAAATGAACCTTCACCAAAAAAAGTCCGCAGTTTTTGATTCAGGGTTAAAGCCCGGTTCATACTTCACGCGAAAGCGAAAGCGAAGCGAAATTCGTGACGTCAACAATACGTTCGAAGCGCATCCTCAATTGTTGACGACAACTTCGCACTTGCTTCGCACTTGCTTTCGCGTGAAGTATGATCCGGGCTTAAGTAAATTGAAAATTGGAATGGCCATTGATTTTTCTTAGGGACAAAGTCTGAACAAATCCCACAAGTACAGTTTTCAAATCAGGCAACTATATAATCACACCATTGACACATCACAACTTATCGAGAAGATGTGGACATATTTCCTCGTGCTTCCAAACGAGACTTTTGTAGGTGAACAATGTGGCCTCTGTCATTTCAGCCCTATGTTAAGAGTTTCCCATATTGTCAAACAACACTCCAGTCCATTTATTTGTTACATTTAAAAGAAAAAAAATGCAATGATGTGATAGCTTTGTCTGTGGGAGATTTGGAACGGAATTCCCTGCCTTTGTCCAGTTGTTCAATTTAATTACTATCGAATGAACACTTCCTAGAAATTATACACGTGGGTCTTTCCATGAATTGGGAAACAGTTTGTGACATTTTTTGGGATGAAGTATAAGTGGTAAGGAATGCAGAATAGTCTTTAGGTTTGTTTTGACTCCTGTGGTTGTTTAAGCACGTTTCTGAGCAGTAAGGTGCTATTCAGCATAATTTTTGAAAGCCAAATAAAAGGTTCCCTATATAAAATGGAAACCACCCAATTTTTTTCCACAAATTTGGTTAGTACTTGAAAGTTTTATTCACATTTCTCACTAATGAATAGCTCAGAACATAATCAGACCATTTAAAACTTGTATTTTGGAAATTTAAATAAAAGTCTCTGCTATTCAAAGACATCTGCACATTGATGTTAAATGTTAAACTCTTTCGAATGTTTTTGTGAATTAACGGATTTCACGGGATAGCACTAAGACTAGCACTATTTAGGCCAAAAAAAAAATCGGTCTCTAGTCAGACCAAAGTTCCGGAATTGATGCGGCGACGCGTTTTTTTTTTTTTTTTGGCTTTTTATTCAAGCTTGTATTGTACAGACAAGGTGGGTACTATTTTGCTTTGTGTGTGTCCTCATTATACATTGGTGTCCTCCATAATTTGCCTTGGTGCCCTTTATCATTTGCCTTGGTGCAATTTCCCCATTCCTTGGTACGCGCGCTGACCAGAGACCGAGTAATTTTCTTTTGGCCTTAGCACCATTGAAGACTCCACGCTACATTGTTAACCTGTTTGGGCTTTAATTGTAGTATCAAGCATCTGGTTTAAAACCAGGTAGGGACCTGGTAGCCAATTATAGCCCTTACCTCGGTGACCAGGCCCCTATAATATACCCAGTTTTAAAGTAGACCACTCATACAAGCCCACAGCATCATTATTCCCTTATTATACGCAAACTAAAGTAGACAGACACCCAAGTTGTGTGTGTGTGTATGTGCCACAGCTTCAAGTATAATTTAAAGAGGTTGTGGAATGCTCGAAGACATTTCCGTCATTTTTCGGGTATATGTAGCCTAAGGTGTGATAAAATAAATACGACTTTTGTTTCTGTCATAAAATGAGTACAAAAGGTACTTTTGAGAGCTGTTTTTCAAGTCCTGTCATGCCTGTTTCGACCCGAACGTGCAATTTATGTAAAAGTCGTCGTTGCGGGCAGCAAACAAAACACAGTAAATCGTGACGTAATAAAAAGGACTCCCGATGCAGAGTAGCATAAACGAGTCCTGTTTATTACGTCACGATTTACTGTGTTTTGTTTGCTGCCCGCAACGACGACTATTGCACAAATGGCACGTTCGGGTCGAAACAGGACCTGAAAAATAGCTCTCAAAAAGTACCTTTTGTAGTCATTGCATGACAGAAACAATAGTCGTTTTTATTTCATCACATTTGAGGCTACATAATACCCCAAAATGACGGAAATGTCTTCGAGCATTCCACAATCTCTTTAAGAAATTTCACCGGAATACCAAAACGCAGGGCAAACCGAAAACGTAAGGCGGTACACCTGACCACCGTAAATCATCAATGAATAATGATACATCTACAAGCTATAATAGCCTGTTACGAAAGCCCTGTAGCGCCATCAAGTATATATTTTGTCCAAGTTCGTTTTTATGAGTTATATATTTCGCAAAGTTCGTTTTTATGAGTTATATATTTCCCAACGACATATATCTCGTGCGCACGACATGCACACGAGATATATGTCGTGCGCACGAGATATTATGTCGTGCGCACGAGATAAAAAAATAATTTTGGATGTTCCTTTAGGGGCTCCGTACCTGACACGCTGCTTTCGTTACACACAAACTCGTTCGCTGCACGTGCAGCAAGCTCCGTTAATGCTTATAATTATCTCGTGCGCACGAGATATATATCGTGCGCACGAGATATATGTCGTGCGCACGAGATATATGTCGTGCGCACGAGATATATGTCGTGCGCACGTGATAATTATCTCGTGCGCACGAGATATTATGTATTGCGCACGTGATATATGTCGTGCGCCAGTGATAATTATCTTGTGCGCACGAGATATTATGTCGTGCGCACGAGATAAAAAAATAATTTTGGATGTCCCTTTAGGGGCTCCGTAACTTCATAAAACTCCGTAATTCCGTAAAATATATCTCATACAAACGAACTTCGAGAAAATGTATCTCATAAAAACGAACTTAGGGAAATATAACTCATAAAAACGAACTTGGCGAAATATATAACTCATAAAAACGAACTTGGCGAAATATATACTTGATGGCACTACAGGGCTTTCGTAGCCTGTAGATATCATGTGATGTGTTCCGATAGTGGTACCAATACAAGATTGAAGATTGCCGATATACCAAAGAAGTAGGGCAAACCGGAAACATAGACGTTACACCCAAACTTACAAAGTAACCACTACATGTATATGGATAGTGATACCCAAGACCATTATCCACACAAACCATCAACACAAAACACAACAATGACTCAATGATAACAGTATCCACAATATACAAAACACTTTTCCTGTACGTGAAAGCATTTAATCAAATCTGCATAATATGTTTAATTTTGAGTTATACGTCATTTTAGAGCTCATTCAACCCCTAAAAAACAAAGATTCCAATTAACGTGCAAATAACTTCCCAAAAGATAAACATAACATCTGTGTAGTTTTCGCACATACTCAATAATGTGCACATGAGAACATGAATACATTCTTAGTGCGAGTTAAGGGAATAAATGTGTGCTTTGGAGGTTTTAATCACTCTGTTTATGACCGCTTGGAGTATGGGTGCCGATAATTATCGGAGCCAAAGGCGAGGGTACTTATCGGCACCCAGACTCGAAGCGGTCTGAAACAGAGTGATTAATACCGACCAAACACATTATTTATTTCCATTCATAAATACCTTTTCGGCAAAAAATCTAAACTTTTTGGTAACAAAAATCCAATTTTGTACAACAAGTTCACCTCATGTTTTTTTGAATACCACTCTAGCTAAATAATGGAGTGTCCAGCTCGCGAATAAGATGTAAACAACTCCTTTTATGGAGATCAGTAAAAATATATGAACTGCTCTCATAACCTGCAATTGTATTTTTTAATACAGCAAATCAATGTCCATATGTATGTAACTCACATCAATAACTAACTGTTCACATACGCTTCAAATAATACCCTTTCACCATTTACAATTGTTATCTGTCCCATCATCATGGTATCATGGTACGAAGAAAAAAAAGAAATTATTGAGAAACAGATGGCCAATTACGTTAACTGTGCATTAATTTACGCAAGAATACCTTTTCTAAATTGATTGCAGGTACAGCTAATTTAATTGATGGTTAAGGAAAAAAGAAACCCCTAATTGTATCTGGTGCGGATGGCATTAAACTAAAAGTGAAATAGAATGGCGAATATGTTTGAAATCGCCTTCTATGAAGTTTTGTAAACGAAGTGAATGGACATAAACGAAAGGTGCTGCTCAATCACTTAATTGATTGAACTAAAATGGAATCGAATGCTCTGGTCGTGTTCAGGGCGATTCTGAAATTCAGTCGAAAATGAATGACCGATTTTCAGAAGTGAATGAACATTTGAGGAAATTGGCCAGAAAAATACCTACACTAAGAGTGGGGCCGTATCATAAGTCCGACGCCTCATAGGTCCGACGCCTCATAAGTCCGACAAACGGACAAAACGCTGTTTAAATAAAAATTATGCTTCATCAGTCCGACGACTCATAAGTCCGAAATTTCGGCGTCGAACTATGAGGCGTCGGACTTATTAGCGGACCCCCTCTTAGATACAAATGCACCGAGTCATAACATATACTTGTAACAATACTCTAACATAAAAATGCACTTATTTTTTTGATATTTGACAAAAGTATAAACATAACAGAGAAATTAACAAATACCGAACTAGTAACTGAAATATTTGTCTGCAAAGCTCAGTAACAAATAAAATAAACTGCTCTCATAACCTGCAATTGTGTTTATAATATAGCAATTCAGTGGTCATATATATATGTAATTCACATTAACAGCTAATTGTTCGCATACGCTTCAATTAATACCCTTTCACCATTTAATAAGTGTTATATGCCATATCATCATTACTGCGAGCGTATATAAAATACCTCAACGAGCAAATAGCTTTTAAATATGCTCCAAAAAATAAAATAAAAAAATAAAAAATTATAGTAATTTCTGAGTATTCTTCATGCATACACGTAACATGCATAAGCGATAAAAACTAAAACTCTTAGTGAGTTACTAATATTGTAACAACATCTACTTGTAACAACTACTCTTAAATTTAATACACTTATTTCCTGATATTCGGCTCAAAAATTACGTTAAAGAAATTAAACAAATCCTGAGTAAGTACACAAATATTTCTTTCGTAAGTTTGATTAACATAATTAAAATCGACTGCTCCGATTAGCTCCATTATATTTATAATACAGAAATCATTTCAATTAATTGCGCAAATAATACATTCGAGAAAGAAGCGCTAAAAAAAACAAGATGGTAGAAGTTTCCACAAATAGTGTTGGCCAAATGTCACTTTTGCTGTAAATAGTGTAAATACTTATATTTATATTTGACATAGCTGAATGCTTTTCAAAAGTGAAAAACTATTGGCATACTCAATCAGGAAATTATAGGTGTTTTTCTTTATAAACAAGGGAACATTATACACGTCTATCGTGTAGGATTACCTCAAGGGACATGGCATGAGATGAAGTTCCTGGGGCAGCATAATTCGGGCGATTCACAATGCAGTGCGCCACCAAGAGTTTGCCATGGAGAGTCCATTTTTTCAAGTTTACGGTCGACAAAATATGGCCCATTTGAACGAGTGTCATTAGACAACTTGAGCTAATTTGTTAAAGATTGGGGCATATAGTGTTTTGTCGCCTTACAAAAAAACACCATATCGATTAAAAGAAAAGAAACGGGCGAACATGTACTTGCATCATACGCTAACGAAACTAATGTCATTTCAATTGTCGATTTCAATGTCCCGCGCTGCAAATTTGTCGACCATCTCCCACAATGCACTGGGGGAAAAAAATGAACGCTCCGTTGCAAACTCTTGGTGGCGCACTACATTGTGAATCGCCCGAAGTATGTCTGCATGACTTGTCTGTTAAAGTGATCTACACCCTTTCGTGTTCGCATATCAGGTCAGAAATCTCGTAGACAGTTCTATCGTAATTTGTCGTGGAGATGTAATCCTGTCAATTGAATAAAAAAAAACCACCATGATATCAAAATATACCCCGACACGAACAAGGCAATCTACTGCATTTGGAAGCTCAAGACCAGTGGTTAACATCTTGTTACTGGCCTTTTGTTATTCTTTCAATATTTAAAATGTGATGTTTTGTCTTGTTGTTGTACCCCTTAATAATTATTTGGCCATGTTTTGTTTTTGTTTTTTTGATCACCGTTATTATCAGGAAAAAAAGAACATTCTCGAAAAATGTGTTTCTCGGACACTGCAATGTCTCAATTGCAATCAATTTTCAAGCTGACAATTTGTTAGATACATTCTAACATTTTAATTACGGCACATGCAATCTCTGCCCCAAATCTCACTGGTAACCTAACTAAAATATTTTTTTGTATATGCACCAACGACCCTTTCAAAAGACGCACGACCCAGTGACATCCTATTTTGTTTAGTTCTTATTAGATAGATATTGCTCGACATGTGACCTGGGGTCAACTGCTGACCAAAAATGTATAATTGTAAGTTACAATGTTTTGGGATTTTCCTTGGTAATGTTTGCGATCTTACCTTTCCTACATTCATAAGTCTGTTCAACTCGTTGCCGATAAATGCAAATGAGGGTCGATCCTCAGGTTTCTCTTGCCAACATTTCAACATCATGTCGTATCTAGAATTAGTAAAACAACTTCAATGTAAAGAAAAACCGCACACAAGAAGCTTCCAGAAGTTGTCTTCAATACAGTAAGTTCGGAACACACAAGGATCGGGTCGTAAGGGTCCGGTAGAAAATACTATCCCTCTGCCGGATAAAACCACTACACTGGCATACGGATGATCAAAAATGTTTTGTGCTCCGGCGCCCTGGCGTCGGCAAACCGGCGAACGTGCAGCTGTTGAGCGGCATAATTGCGCCCCACTTCACCGACGCAGCCCCTGCTGTTCGAGTAGTGTCAACCAACTATACTCTGTGGGCCACTGACGGACTATCTGTCGCTTGTGTGCCAGTGACTGACGTTTATGAGAGTACAGCAGATTGTATTACAAAATCGATATGTTCCTAACTCAAATTCGAAACTAATTAAAAAAGTAACATGTCGCTGGTCGTTGTTTGTGCAAGTCTCATTGGAAAGCTGATGTCGTCAAAATACCTTCAGCAATTGTTTTAATACGGGCGATTCCCAATAGTGCGCCTCCAAGAGTTTGCAGCGCGTTGGCCAATCACAATGCGCGAAATCAGTCGACCTTTTCCAAACGGGCGTTGGGTCGACAGATTTTGCGCATTGTGATTGGCCAACGCGTTGCAAACTCTTGGAGGCGCACTATTGGGAATCGCCCGTATTGACAGACTATGCTGAAATGTTGGCCTTAATGTACAACCAAATGACTCACAGCTCCTGCTGACAGTGTTTTGGTTTAGGCATGCGGTAGCCAGACTGGACCTCCTGCTTCACCTCCTCACGGTTTATTGCTGGGTACGGATCAGCACCTGCAATGTAGAGAAAACACATGTGGCCTATACGTAAGGGGTCTACCCGATGTTCCCCCGTGCCTGTGTTCCCCAATACCGATATTCACGGATATCCTTAGGTTTGGGGTCAGATTTAGGGTTAGGGTTAGGGTTAGGGTTAAGTTTAGGGTTAGGGTTAGGGTTAAGGTTAGGTTTGGGGAACATCGGTACTGGGAAAATCGGTATTGGGGAACAGGTTTTGCGAAACATAGTGTATGTACCCGTAGTAAACAAATACTGAAGCTAGAATCAAGACAAGTGTCGACGTTGAAACTGTTTGTTTAAAAGCAAACTTGGCTTACATTGTTACTTTCCCTCCTTTACCGTGAAAAGATCCTACATTGTTTTTGATATCGTGTCAGAACTTGCAGGATACACAAAGAAGAGTGACAAATTGAAGAACCTCAGGAATACTGTACCGATGCTTTTGTATAACCAAATAGCTGATCCAGCCCTGCATTTTTGGCATGGTACATGCTGAGGCAATAGCGACAAATTTACATTTCACGCTATTATACCTGTGTGTGTCACATTGTGGTTCAACATGCGCTAGCCAGCCCGAAAACAGGTATGCGATAAAGATTGACTCGTTTGAAGATTAATAGTTGTGTCATCCACACTCTCCGTCAACTGACCAACTGTTGTCAAATTCAAACAACTTCGCTTTTTAAGCAGCTTCAGACATCGTTCTGACTCAACTCACCCAAATTGACGATTTCCCACAAGAGTACACCATAAGACCATACGTCACTCTCTGTCGTGTACGTGTGGTCGATTAAAGACTCAACTGCCATCCATCGAAGAGGCAAATTATCCTGGAAGAGATTAATGCTTTTTCAAAATCATATCTTTAAGTTTTGGAACATAAGCCATGGTATAAATTTTGAGTTCAATTTTCCTGCCCCAGTTACATTGGACATCTATGATTTTTTTTTTAGATCTGGATGTAATCTTTCATACAGCTGTAGACCTCTAAGAGTGGTTATAAATGGGTCATTCCATGTCAGACCAACGCACTTTTTTACCTCATGTCTTCCGATTTTAATAAAAATTGCTGTGCTTGTAGGTCCTAATGAGCAATGAATACACACCAATTTTTTGCCCGATCCGACCTATTATGTGGTCAGGGCAGAAGTCACAAAAAAATTGGCATTTTTAGAGTAAAATACCACCCTTTTGGTATAAATATGTCAAAACTATGGCAATTTTCATCGAATATATGTGAATTTGTTATTAAAATGATGAGGATTGCATGCTCAAAGCACTTCTTTTGTCAAAATTAAATTTTGTGAAAAGTAGGTCACATGACTTTTAATATGCTATCATGACCTTTGACCCATTTTTTGTAATAATGTATCCTTCCGAAAATCAACGAAATAAAAATAACTTGCTAGAGCATGTCTCTCTCTATCAGAATCTACTAAAAATCAGTTGGGGTCTTCAAAATTTACAACTTTATGACTATTTTTGTACAGTTGGTAGGTTACAAATGAGTCAATTTACAGACTTTACATAAGAAATACACCAACACAACTTACTGTTCTGTTTCTAAAGTTACTAAAATATATCTTGGTTTGTGAATTTCTCATTCTGAGGGCTGATGAGGTCTAACCAGACTCATAGTGTAAATTATCAGCAGTGGCGCACCCAGGAGTGGCTTTTGGTGGTGGGGGGAGGGGGGGGGTCATAAATCGTTTTTTGTTCAAATTTCTGTAAAAGATTGGACCAACAAAAACTAGCCTAAAATCAAACAAACAAATTGACAATGTTGGGGGTGGGTTCAAGCCCCCCCCCCCCGGTGCCACTGATAATTAGTTATCCCACGAGCGCGCTTGGAATATGAAATAATGCAATGCTGCTGTGACCCATATGCCACTCAATGCACTACATAATTCCGTGTTCCACGAGCGCAAGTGGGATTTATAACCAATTTATCTTCAAGCGAACTTGATATCAAATGCGTACACGCGGTGAAGATGTACGTGCATACATGTAGTGTATTGGTCCGTCCAGCAGGAAATAACACAACATATGTACACGTACATTTTTAATATCTGGGGTGCAATATAGCTGTGCAATATTATATAAAATCACACAGTTGTTGCTATAGATGGACTAATCAGGGTCTAGGATTCAAGTTTGCTTGAAGATAAAACTTAATATTACAATCAAAATTACCTTTACTCATTCTTTGGGCTTCTTGAACTTTAATGACTCTCACAGACTTGGCATTTTGTTTATTTCACCTGGACGTGAGTCCGCTGTACTGGGTGAAGGCCTGGTTACTGTTAGTAGTTAGCACACTTCCGAGTCCAGATATTCTGATTAGACAGTTTCTTTGAAATCAGAAGGTAGAATTTTGTTTTTCCTGGCTTTGTACTTTATACATAAAAATCTAGATTAATTTTAGTAACTTAAGAAACAGAATAGTAAGTTGTGTTGGTGTATTTCTTATGTAAAGTCTATAAATTGACTCATTTGTCACCTACCAACTGTACAAAAGTAGTCATAAAGTTGTAAATTTTGAAGACCCCAACTGATTTTTAGTAGATTCTGATAGAGGAAGACATGCTCTAGCAAGTTATTTTCATTTTGTTGATTTTCGGAATGATACATTATTACAAAAAATGGGTCAAAGGTCACGATAGCATATTAAAGGTCACGTGACCTACTTTTCACAAAATTTAATTTTGACAAAAGAAGTGCTTTGAGCATGCAATCCTCATTATTTTAATACCAAATTCACATATATTTGATGAAAATTGCCATAGTTTTGACATATTTATACCAAAAGGGTGGTATTTTACTCTAAAAATGCCATTTTTTGTGGCTTTTGCCCTGACCACATGGTAGGTCGGATCGGGCTAAAAATTGGTGTGTATTCATTGCTCATTAGGACCTACAAGCACAGCATTTTTATTAAAATCGGAAGACATGAGGTAAAAAAGTGCGTTGGTCTGACATGGAATGACCCAAATAGCAAACTACCTCCTTAGAATATAAAAGTAATTTTCAAGTCTTTCCTAATGATCCTTTAATGGAAAATGTCTCGGTTCAAAGTAAACACGAAAAGGGTCAAACTTTATAGAATGACCAATCCGTAATGATCTGCATGTTTTGGGATCCCGTGTCTTGAACTTGTAACATTGTTGCACTTCTGTCAAAAGATCTCCTTACCCCTGATTGGTGCTCGTAAACTCTCATGTTCTTGACGTCACGAGCGAGTCCGAAATCAGACACCTTACACGTCATGTCCTCAGCCACAAGCACGTTACGGGCAGCAAGGTCCCTGTGAATGCACTGTGGAGCAATTCAGATATTTTCACTAATCGGATTTAGCAGCGAGAGTTTGCATTCATTAACTTTAAACATAGGTTGAAGAGAGATCGTACCACCTGGTACATCTTTGTGTGAATGGGCAAAATGGCCAAAAAAGGTCTGTTATCATTTCTACTGCTGTTATCATTTCTAGGGTCGTTTTGACTTGAGAACTGTCATCCTAATCGAAAACGTGCCACTTTGAAGTTACAGGGCATCTGCTTAAATCTGACATGGGTTCTGGGTCACATCTTCACCGGCACCTTTCAGAGTATAAATCGTTGAAACCTCTGATAATACTGATATCTGAGAGAAACGGGTTTGTAACACAGTCCAATCAAAAAGCCAGTCATCTGTTTACCAATTGGGATGAGACGAACTTCATTCCATCAGCCACGTCTCTAGCGAAGTGCATCAGCTGTTTGGCGGTCAAGGAAGTACTGTCTCCGTGCAAATTGTCGTAGGCATGTGCACCCTTACTGCGACTCTCTATCAGAAGAGTCTTCAGGTCCCCGCGTGAAAGATACTCTAGGATGATATACGGTGGATCTGACGAGAAGGATTGGATGAAAGTTAATCCTTCTGTTCGTCAAGTTTGTTCAAGCCCATTTTCAATCCTAAGTCTCGATTTATGATGTCCATTCTCTATTAACAGCGCTAACGCAGGCATTATACACTATTCATGTAGTAGGCCATCAGCTTGGGAGTTTGGTCAGTATAAAATCAGGGCATGAATGATTTTAGTGCGCATGCGCAAGGTATACCGCCCCTGGAGTGGTAACAAGCATTTTGATGCACATTTTGAAAAACAGGGTGATGACACCTAAAAGGATGCCACCGCTGCAATGCTATCACATATTTTCCAACTCTGGCAATGTATACCTTGCCAAAAATCGCTATGACGATTAATCTCCTCATGTGATACCGGTTGCCAAAGTTTTGGACCGAGGCTGATGGCCTATAGGTTGAAGCATGAAAACTTTAACATACCATTTGCACGGTACGCCATGACAGTGGGTGGGTTTGTAATTTACATTTAGTTACAAAGTACATAATCAAGTGTATCACACAGGGACACAGACCTACCCATTGTCATGGCGCACCATGCAAAGGGTCTATTGCAGAATCTAGAGATGCGTTCAAGCCACACTCTTATGTCGAATTAATCAGCTGCCGCATTCAGCACATTTTCTGCAATAAGACATTTTAACTTGTTTAGGAAAGATCTTGCACAGAGCATTCGAATAATCTTACAAACCAAAATATATCTTGATGATGTGATAGTAACTATAATTTAAGAAAGACATGTATCACCAAACACTGTACATCACGCTTGAAATCAACATTTCCTTTTTAAAAGACATGGTCATCAAGGTAAATTGTGACCTCCTGAGGCAAAATGAGGAATGTTCCCCAAAACCTTGTTTTGAGTAATCTACGCCTTATTTCGGATATAGTAGTAAAAATTATGTAAAAATTGATATTGGTTGTTTTGTATTTTTGAGTAATTAAGGTATCCAAGATTCACACTATGCATTTTTGTGGGGGAAAATACCCCACTAAAAGCGGAAAAAGTGAAGAACGTTTATCACTGACAGCAGCGCAATGCGTATCTTTCAAAGCCGTTTTTCTTTAGGCGAGCCATCAGATAACAGACCGTTCAGGTACCGGGTCCGGTATGCTAATTTCTTTCACCCCAATCGGTACGAAGCCAGAAGCCACCCGGTCACTGAAGCGTGACGCCCCAATCGGTCCAAACTGGTGACTCAGGGTTTCACAATAGGCAACATAAATTGAAGTCTGGCCATTGTTGGAGGATTATTCGGCCCGCTCGGATTACCAGCGGCAACTTCTATGAAGCTCATCACAGCCATTGTTGCCTACTGGAGGATTAGCGCGTCGCAAATTGGTTCCTTTGTGATGAGCCAGAGCCATGGTGCAGAAGCCTGGTGGAGTTAATCCAGGCCGATCGGTTCCATGCAAGGTCCCAATCCCTTCAACATACTGGGCGGGCTCAACCCCGAACGGTCTGGGGAGGGATTCTAATTTGAGGGCTCGCCTTAAATGAGGTTGACAAAGATTAGCGGGACACTGTTGAAGTTCCTGCAGCATATCTTCGGAATAAATTCAGCTTCAGAAATTAATTTGGTATCATTGGAACGCCAAAGACCTGCGGTTTAACATGATGTACAAAATCAAAGGTGGGGGTTATTCCTTATTATGCTGTGGCAGGTCACAATTAATGATCGATAAACAGCCTGCAGGTACGTCAATACACCTCGCTTTTTTCATCACAATAAAGTTAGATCTAACCTTCCTCTACAGAAAATCCGAGGAGCCTGACTACGTAAGGATTGTACGGCAGCGTCGTCATCAGATCGAGTTCCCTCATCAGATCCTTCTTACCATTTATTGGTGGTTCATCTTAAAATGATACGAAGAAACGATCTCTAACCACCGTCCTTATGTATCTGTACCTAGTTTGTCTTGTTGGGTGAGGTACATAATTATTTATAATGATTGGGATGTTCTATTGTCTGTTCTCCATATAATGAGGTTTCATTTAATAATAACCGAAATGGTAGTACACCAGGGAGATTTTACTATACATGTATATTATAGATTTGTGCACAAACCCCATTTGTAAAATAATCTCTGTCCCCGAAATCGGTAATCAAACTTTACTCAACCTAAAATATCGTTTTAACCAACTTGCGAAATTAAAAGCTGTTTTCGTAATGGTAGTTTATTAGAAGACACTAAAATAACTCCATAATTTCCAAAGAACTGTTCCTTCTTAAGCTACCATTTGTTGTCGTCAATATAGTTGTAATTTGGTTAATTATAAGTCAATTACATTTCAATCACAAGTACACGGCGAAGGTCAGTGTTTCACGTGTAAGAGGATGGACTACGAAACTGGGACACCAATTTCGATAATAAACTAGATGACGTGCAATACTGATGACTAATTGAATTGCGATGACTTGCAATGATATAATTAAAATCTGCTAACCTGGTAGGGTTTTGACGGCAACCGTAACCTCTGACCCTTGTGTAATTCCCCTGGCCTCGGCTAGCATCACCTTACCAAATTCACCATGCCCGAGCTCTCGGAAATTACTAAGCCGATCGCGCGGGATAGCCAGGTGCCCCATTGATACGCGAGGTGTCCTTGCCTGGTTTTGATCTGCAGGTAGACCTAGGTCGTCCCTTCCTGAAATTAAAGCAGCAGTTTTGAATTTTAAGATTGATTAGGGGTTATAATTATAGTATCTTTGGTTAATGTTACGTGTCCCGAGCACAATTGTAAGTTCACTCCAGCAACACTCACTCCAAATTAAATTGCCACTCTTTAGAGATACATTGGAACTTTAATGTCAGGTCTTCCAAGTTGTAGAGTACAACTTGGTAAACGTTGTGAACGATTAACGCTACCAAGTATTTTGAAAAGAGTAGTCACTGGTTTCGAGACCAACTTGGACGGTTACCACAGTCCGGTGTTCTTCGTGCTCTGGCTGCCTGAGTAATTTTGAGACAATGTCTTTGAATCTGACACACACTTCTTCTTGTTTTAAAGTTATGGTCGATTTCCATGATATATCTTCAAACGTCAATGGTGCATCCACATACCAAGTGTGTCGTTTTCGTACGCAAAGAGTGGATCAGAGCGACGTCGTGTGGGGACTCCCCTTTGAGAAAAAAAATCGACAACAAAATCAGGGCATAATATAAAGTATAATTAAGGTTTAGTTTTGATGAAACAAAACAAAGGTTGAAAAATGCTCAAGTTACGATTGTATCGGCATTCGCGTTCAGGTTAGTATGAAGCTTGCAAAATAAAACAAGGAGGTTATGGACTCACTCTCTCGGTCTGTGCATTTCTCTTTCTTCTAGAAATAGAAAATAAAATTATATTATTAGTTCCAATTTAAGTGGGTCTCAGCCAACAGTTGTTATCGTGAAAATACTCGACCGTCATACGACTTACACTATGCGGGGGAGTGTGGTGGCACAAGGATACAGAATGTGCACAAATTAACAGTAGTCTCTTTTCAAAACAGCACACGAGTTGAGTGCGAACAATACATTTTTGTGTGCTGGCTTACACGGAATAAACCCCACGAATCGTAACCAATATAACTGAGACTTGTTTAATTAACTATAACAGACATAATAAAATTGTTAACAGTAATAACAACCCATGGGTCCGCTGTTGGTGGTGGTAAAATGCCCTTCTTACAACCTATTGAATCAAATTATTCATTTCCAGAAAACAAATATCAAACACAACTTACCACTTCATCGTAACAGGCTAATTTCTCAATTTTGTTGATAAACGTATGATTCCTCATAATGAATTATGTGAGAAGCTGCTAAAGGGAATTGGCTATCATCAATCTTACCGGTACTCCGCTCCCTTGACCTTCTTCTTGCGCAGACGCCAATACCAATTGAAAATACTAAGAATAAAATCCCCAAAATAACGCTGACACCAACAATGACCTCGTTAAAGCCGCTGTTCGCCACTGCAGGTGGATCTGCTACTTGTGTTGCTTTTAAAAACAAAAGACAAGAATTAAGTTATTAATGCTTTCTCGTCAAATAGCTCAGTTCTTTCGATTTTGTATTATGAAAGGCCCGGTTCATATGCCCGGTTCATACTTCATGCGAATGCGATTGCAAATGCGAAGCGAATTGGACGTCATGAAACATTCGCTGCGAACTTGCGAAATTCGCCCGAGTTGAAATGTGTTCAACTTTTGCAAATTTGCAGCGCGAATACTTGCCATGACGTCACAGATTCGCGTTCACTTTCACTTTCGCATGAAGTATGAACCGGGCTTCAATGTTCAAGGCAAAAAAACAGGCTCTCCTTTTACGTACACTTTCAATAAAAAGCGGTCCTATCATTATTTTCAATAAAAAAAAAATAAGCGTTGATTGTTTCTATAAATGTGTTCATACAATTTAATGTTGTGGGTTCTCATCTGTAAATTTGATATCATAACCTTGAACTTTTGCTCGATACTACATAAAAGGACGCATTGTTAGGTATTTCATACAAAAATAGCAACCTGTACAAAAACGTTATAGCATATCATCTTGTATTTTCTCAGCTGTTTGTGCTCAAACTGGATTTATCTTCTTTCTTTTACTCCATCACATTGTTTTGCCCTTGCACTACAGTTTACCTTGTTTGGCAGGTGCTACGTCACTGCACAAGCCATCTATGCAAAGTCTGGCACGGACACCTATAAAGTCTCCTACAGCTCGTCTTCTTCGCTCCTGTGGCGAAGCACACCATTCAGAGAGCTTCACCGTCTGGTCTGACTCGATACACTGCCCACACTCCTGCCAGGCTGCGCTGCCTTCGCGTATCACCTCCAACTGGATGCATCCATTAGCCACTTTCAACCCTTCAATTGTCACGGTGCCGAAATCGACACTGAACTCTACAACGATTCCTGGAAACAAGTGATTGATAGAATTCATTCACCTATAATATTTAAGAGCAATATCCTATTCCTTATTCCTGCGGGCTGTGCCATCTTTTAAGGTCAATTATATTAATTTTATTAATTAATCTAACTTAATGTGTGCAATTTTTGTTTTATATTTCGTTATTTTGACTGGACCATAACTATAACATAATTTTGTTTTTATTTTGGACTATATTAATTACAGCAAACCTCTCATTTTTTTCCACCATGCAAACCTCAAGTCTCATTGGACTATATTGTTGTGTATTTTTTGTAATGTTTTCATATTGTATCATTGTTGCAATTTGTCCCGAGGGCCAAGAGTTGAATGAAAATAAGCCAACACCAATATCAAAATAATTCAACCCGAATGTAGTCTTAATTCAGGAAGAAAAATTTCTGAAAGATGTTGATGTTGTATAATTTACCTGATTCAGGATTAGGAATTGCCGCTGATGTACAGAAGACACGGATAAGTAGGGAGAGCATGGTACCATGTGAACAGAAAAAATAGAAAGAATCATATAGAGTAATTTAATTCTCCATCTTGATTTTACGTAATTGAAATGAAAAATGAACTTTGGCTTTCTCTATTAATTAAGGACATTGTCTTGAAAACATAAAGAACGCGCCAAATTATCGGTTTATATTCTCCAGTTTAGGAACAACTGATATATAGTGTTAAAAAATGACGTTGAGAGGAGAATTTTTAGATCCGAACTGAGCTTTTAATAATAGCATAACTTAATCGTTGTCTCTATTTTTCCCCATCCCTGCTCATCTGACACAGGTAAACAGGTATGAGCTGACCTATAGTAAAGTACACCAGTGCGTCAAACATTTCCCATTAAACAAACGCAAAATAATATAATAGCATTTTGTTTTCACAAAATACTTACGGAGTGTGCGACCCACTACCCGACCATAATCATCGTTCTGACCTACGACGTTCTTGGCATACACCCTGATCTCGTACTCTGTGTATGCATCCAGACCTGCCACTTTATAAGTGCTCTTGCCGCCTGTTACATCCTCCTTGAAGAATATCTCAGTGTATCCGGATACCTCGAGATAGCTGATGCGAAAAGACTGCTCCTCTCCGCCATCATAGCCCGCTGCCCACCTCACAGTCAGAGAATCTGCCCTCCGGTCGGTTATTTCAACTCTGCTGGGCTTGCCTGGTTTTCCTGAAAGTAGGAATTGACCCGGACACGATTCAAATGGACGTTTCAAACTTCTCTAGCCGAGAGTCTCAGTTTGCGAATGGTATGTACCCTTACAACTCCTTACCACACTTTGAGTCAATAGAATGATGGATGTTTGCATGTGTTCCTGGTATCTTATAAGTCTTAAAAAACGTTTTCTAGCTTGAGTGACCTATTGAGTGACCTATTTGGATTATCAAAACTTCGGACTATTGAACCTTCGGACTAACGAACCTTCGGACTAATGACCCTTCGGACTGAAGAACCTTCGGACCACCGAACCTTCGGACTATCGGGCTGTAACCGTGTAAACAACGTAATATCGGGCTTTTAACGCTCTGGTCGTGGGTGCCATGCATCCGTTTTAGGTGTTTAAATGTGCCATGTATTACACCACAGCTGTCAACAATTGTTAAATGATACCGGTTTTCATTTCAACTAGGAACTGATATAAAAAAATCTGAATATGTGGAGGGTTGAACTGTACTTCCTTTTTTAGTATCAAATACTCTACGGTGATAAGACTGACATACCGTGTAAATCCAATGTGACCATAACCGAGGGGTATGGCTGGTGTGAATGTGCCGTGCTCGCCAGGCATTTCACACTCTGCGCGTGGTTGGCTCGGCCGGGAGTGAATGTCCAGGAACTCGAAGCATTAACCAACCCGTCCCCTTCTCCAACGGTCGGGCCGATCGTACTCTGTGGCCAAGTACTGGTACCAAGATCCCACTGGATGGTAGCTGCTGGTCTGGACTGGGCTCGGCATGTAAAGGTGTAGGATGTACCTTCATCAACACTCACTGAATCTCCAGCGATTAAATCCCCGCTTGAGTCAGACAGTGACATGGTGGAGACCTTTGGTGGCACTTTAAAAAGGCCATTAGCAAAAAAGAAAAATGGATCTTGTTTGTGCAATCGAGTTATCATTTATTTCAAGAGCGATGAAGTAGATGTGCTCGTTTTGGTGACAGCGTCAGAATTTGTACACATCACCTGTTCAAACGCACGCGTGCACATGTGCAGTGAACATGCGCGTTGAACATAAACAAGCATATAGCCGTTGTACATGTATAAAATATCACCTTTTGTAACATATATTATGCTACATTTGTGATTAAAAATGTAATTAATTGACGAACTTCAATTGTTTTACAAAACGTTCTACACCCAAAGGGTCTCAAAAATTGAAGACGATTTCGTTTTCAACTGCTGTATGGTCTTGGGTAATACAAGGTTAAGTTGATGCTTTTGGAAATCAGCGGATTCAGAGGAACAATGTCACATCTCGGAAAGAATTCCATATAAGGACGACACCCTGTGAACAAACCCAAAGAGACTGGTTTGAAAATTCGTAGTGTTTTCTCCTTAAATGCTTCAATATTTTCCTTGCTAAACTTCACTTTTTAGGACATGTTACCGCTTTCTGATGGCTGAAAAGTCAATGCAGGGAAAAACTAGTGTCGTACATAGGACTATATGGAAATCTGTCCAAAATGTCGATGAAATGTCTGGTTCCATACTGAAAAAAAAATACTCGAATGCTTCCTTGACATACCCTCTACTATCAACAGCGTTGAACTATACTTATAATCAGCTTGAACTCCACGTGTTTTAAACGAAACCGCACACCAATATCTGCCCTGATCAGGAGGGAACTCCAACGACGAAATAGTTAGAACACTCCTTTTGTTGAGGGTGTCTACAGACATCCTATGCTTGTAGCCAGTATTAGGGTACGAATAAAATCCCGTGTCAGCGTTGAAGCTAGCTAAGTTGGATGAACTGCCGTAATAGCCGTCCCCTGTGCCTTTCGTCCACCACAGGCCAACTAAAGCGTACGAACTATCAGGGAATGTATAATTACACTCAATCGATGCTGTTTCTCCTTGCAAAGCTGCTACGCCAGACTGCACTGATATTGTAATGTTGTTTCCATTGCAGACTGCAAGATACAAGAAACAGTATACGAAGCATAAAATACGGAGCTTATTCTCCTCTAAACATATTATTATTATTACTCGCATGGACGACTTTTGTTAATCTAATTCCAATGATTAAGACCATGTTCCTTCGAACGTTCAACTGTTATGGTTGAATGTTGCCCCGAAATTGCCTACACCGACCAAAACACGATTTGCATGCCCTGAAAATCTTCAGTATTTGAGAGTATTGTGGGCCATGAACTTGAGGGTTTGTAAAAAAAATATGGGTGGAAGCTGTACACAGGACTGGGAGCTTGCAGTTCTGTGTAATTTGGATGTAATATGGACCCTAAAAGCGCTCTATTTTGCCATGGAGTAGCATCGTTTTTCAAAATGGCGATGGGCTTCAGAACTATTTATAGGGGTGATCATTTTCGGCTGGAAATTTCTACTAAAAGTCATCAGTTGACCCCCCAAAAATTGAAAAGAAAATGAAAGGTTATTAAAATAAGCTTCAATTTGAAGTGGGAGCATTTACCAATGGGGTCTATGGAAGTTTATTCACTGGTCTGCTACCTATATGTACACCACACAAAACGTGTAAACGAAACCTTTGTGATGTACATGTACATGTAACAACAAATTATGACATCGCCCACACATCGTGACCCGAGGCTTGTTGTTCGCTACACTAGACGAATTCCCCGGGAATACCCCGGGAAATTCGTCTGTGCAGTGTATGCAGTGTGTCGATCCCTGGGAAATAGCTTTTCCCAGGGATATGTATTTACCCCTGCTCGGGAGTAGGGTTAAGGGAGAAAACCCCGGGGTTTCACGTTTTTCTCTGGGTAAAGCAACCAGTGAGAACAAAAGCGGGTTGTTTGAACTTACCCCACCTTTTTTTCCCCCCTGAATCGCATTTGCATTTTGCGACACAATATTCAAGTACTCCGAACTTTCGGAAGTAATCGCAGTGTGTGATGCAAAATGTATAATTGGGTGTGCAGTGTGTCGATCGGGCCGTCGCATGACTGAAAAACACACAACTTTAATTCGCGGCGCTTGGAAATTCAGCTTTTATCCTCAAAAACATAACCATTTTCCAGAAACGTTCGAACGAACATGAAGGCATTTTCCATGAAAATGTTCCAACTGAAAGACTACCAACTTCGCGTATGCTGAACCTGGAAAATCTCACCAACTTTTATCCTCCAAAACAGACAACCGTCTATTTTGCTATCCAACAAGGTACCAAGGTGACCGTAAGGTCGTGGCCAAATTCTGCTAAATACAATTTAAAAATCTGTCAGATTCGTCACAAATCTGCCAAATGCCCCAGAATTACTCGAAATACAATATAAACACTTAAAATCACCTGCAGATGTTGTAGTATTGCCTTCATTAAGTTTCAAATTATATTATTAGCAATCTATAGTCACATACACATGCTATGAAATTGCGTAAATTCAAAGCAAAATGCGATTGCGGCATGACAAACTCCAGTTCCCAGTGAACCTTAGCACCTGTTCCCGGCCTTTCGCATTATGCAAGGGTTTGTTTAAAAGGATTGAAGCTTTTTTTTTTAAATAAATGTACATTTTTTTTTCACGTTTGCTATGTTTTTCTGTCAAATCTCCATTTTTGCAGAATTCTGTCAGAAATCTTTCCAAAAATCTAATCTGTCCAATTTTCTGTCAATTTTTTTTTTTAACAAAAAAATCTGTCAAAGTTAGCCGACAGTCGGCTAAAACGGTCACCCTGCAAGGTACGTACAGTGTAGGCATATTCCATGAAAATTTCTTCAATGAAAAGCACGTGCTTAGCTGCAGTACACAGTGTAATGTGCATGTCACCAATGTGGATCACACCATTTACTGTAGGGGTGTACCATGTTCTTTTTAAAAACATTTACTAGCATTTCCAGCGTTCCAAAATTATACAAAATACTCTTTATTAAGTCCGAAACATTTTCATGTTAGAAAAAAAGGTCCTCATCATCACAATATAATTGTTGTAAAGAATATATTCGAGAAACGATGTAAAACTTTAAAAAATGGTATTAAAAGCACCCCATTGGATGATCCGTCCATATCATGCATGGCGAAATTGCCGTATGTTTTCCAAAGAAACTTGCGATCGAAAAGTTGATTTTTGACGTTACCATGTCGTTGCTGAAAATAAAAATTTGATAAGATTGGTAGTAAAAAAAGGCCTGTTTGTTCTTATGGCATGCTCCGACAATGCATGCGGGAATATTTCATTGTAGTTCGCAGGTGCGGCCCGGCCCGGAAGAGCGGTTTAATTGGCCGGGCGCCGGGCCGGCA